TAGCGTACTTATCCTTTGTTTACATTGGTTCTACGGCTCCAGGTGCTGTCATTGAAGTCCAACGGAGAGCTAGTGATACGGTCACTTTGATGTATAAATATATATTGTCACTGTCGCAGTTTTAGTAGCATATCTATATAATTATGAAAAACAATTTGTAAAACGCCCTCAAATACTTGCATAAGTCCGTTCTATACGAATTTCTGAAAAAGCGCGTTTGTTTTCAAACAAGAGTTTCTAAGAGTATTAAATATTAGGTTTGCGAGTGAAAAGAACACAAATGTTCAGTTAAGGCATATTTTATTCGATGCGGAAAGCCAACACTTACAATTGAGCAATAGGTAGGACAACATAACAACGACTGTGCGACTACAGTATGTGTGCAAATGTAAATTGAGCAATAGGAAAATACATAGTACATTGAAAATAAAATAAGTGTAATTTCTGCACACGTAAGTCATTGAAAACAAGTTACAGGGGCCATGCAGAAATAAAGTACATTCATAACTTTGCATATTCATCATCAGCAAGAATCCTCATGTAAAAACGACAAAAATAATTGAAAATGTAAATGATTTAACACAAGGACAATACATTGTGAAAATAAAATAAGTGTAATTTTTGCACACGTAAATCATTTTATTACTTGCCCGTGAAGAGATCACCCGTCTAATAAACATACAGCTGTATTACAGGTGTCTAGCCGGGAGAGCCACATTTCAGAAATGGCTATTGCCGGTAGAGCCACATTTTCAGCTGAGTGCATTTCACCTATTCTAGCTGGTAATTAATTAATCCGATTACCGATACCTTTAAATGAGTGTCCCACATTTAAATTACTAAGCGTGGTGTTCTTTAGAGATACCTTTTAATGAGTGTCCCACATTTAAATTACTAAGCGTGGTGTTACTTACTTACTTACTTATATTGGAGATTTAACGTGCGCTTTCCGACTGCAAGCGTATGTCGCACACGGGCCCGGCCAGGCCATTTAATGTGTTTCCGAAAAGGGGAAAGCGAGTTTGTGCAACCCAGGAGGGGGGCTTTAGGGGTTGCTTATATAGTAATTTTGAAATTTGGAAAGAATGCAAGGAGTGGGTGGGGGACGAACTAAGGGAGCTGTGTGTGTTGGTAGGTTGTTAGATAAGGTAGATTTGGTTTTAATATTTTATTTGGGGTTTAAATGCGACTAATTAGTCCTGTCTTAATTAGGCTTTGAATTTTTCTAATTTATTTTGTGGATTTAGGATTGATTCTAGTGTAAATCCCGGTAAGTTCGGTGTGTTTGGTAGTGTGTGCAGTGAATGAGTACGTGTTCTGGTGTTTCTTGTTGTTTGCAATACGAGCAGTTTCCTGTTGTGTGTAGATTAGCTATTTTACGGTGATTATTTAGTTTAGTGTGGCCTGTTTGTAGTTTAGTAATTATTCTGTCGATTTTTTTGGATGGGTGTAGTATTTTTGGTTTATTTAGGTTTTTTTGAGTACTTTCCTGATTTGGCTATTTGAGTTTTGGTATATATATTTTGCCATTTTTTGTTGATTTTTTGTTTAGTGACACTTTTGATTTCTGATTTTGAGCTGGGTAATTGGTTATTCTTTGGGAAATTGGAGTAAGTAGTGGATGTTTCCGGGCTAGGGCTTGGTTTCTAGGGCTAATATTGTTTTTTATTAAGTTTTCGATTAGAGGGTTTGATTGGGACGCGGAAAGAAAGAAAATAATAAAATATAAATACTGGAACAAACGTGTTGCAAAGTGTAAGACAACGTCACTGTACTTTGTTTGGATGCATCAATGTAGTATTAATGGACATATTTTGTATTTGAACAAATATCATTAACACCGGGCATTAAGCATTATGCTACTCATATGCTATTCATATTCATCAATGTAAAGTTTTGATGAATATGTTACTGTTATCCTTGTTGAATAAAAAATGAGAAAACAAGACTTGTTTTGTTATATACGGTAACCTGATAGAATCACAAAGCATGTTTTGACAGCATAGCCGCGAGAGCCACATTATACAATCACGCAACCATAACCATTGCCGCGAGAGCCACATCAATTTGGGCTATCTATTTTCGAAATGTGGCTTTGCCGGCCTGTAACCGTATTACACATTGTGTAATACCAAAACGCGTGCTAATGTACTCTCGGAACACGTTTCACGAACAAATATTGAAAGCTCTCAACATCCCTTGGCTTATTCAACGATATGCGTGTGGAGATGATAGATCACTGAGAGGAGCTAATGCACACTCGATGACCCCAGCAACCTTGTTGCTAGGCTGACGTCACATGGCATTGTTTCGCCGATGGATCTTGCATCAATATTCCACAATTTACGTCATCGGGTATTGTGACGTGATTGTAAACTTTGAGGTGCAAGGCCCGTTCCACAAGGCGATCGTATTGTAGCGCAACGACAGTCGTTAGTCTAAGTTAAAGTATGTGAGTTGCGATTAGCCCTACGATAATTTTGTGGAACGGACGCCTGAATTCTAAAGGTGGACCGTTGTATGGTATTAAATTCATACGTTTCAACTTTTGACGTGTTTGAAGTATTATTCTGTTAAACTCAATTGGACTATACCGTGGATCGTGTAGGTGTCAGCCTATTCATACTCATCAGTATAATTCTAAAAACGTTATAAATGGCAAGTAATAAATAAAATACTAAACGCGCTCCCGTGTAAAACCAATTTAATGAAACGAGTGAATAGTTGTGGTATCTGAATCGCTTTCGCTCGTCAGATACCACAACTATTCACTCGTTTCATAAAATTGGTATTACACGGGAGCTCGTGTAGTATTCTATATGTAAACATGATACAAGGGGGCCATACAGAAATGAAATACATTTATAACTGTTTGCATCATCAGCTGGAATCAGGATATAAAAACTACACAAAAATCCCAGTATGCTACGTGTATGACGTAAGTACCTAGTATACACGATTCAACAATTAGTTCGATAGGAGCATGATCCAATGGAGTCATTTCAATATTTTTGACATTTTGTGATATTCATCCCGGTTATATCTGGTATATATTCGCTTGAACTGAATGTTCCTGCAGCAGTGACAATCATCCTTTGTTGAGGCACTTTGTGCGAGGAAGCCTTAACTACAAACTATGTTGCTGATAAGCGATACAATGTTACACAATACATGAATACCATAATGTTGGGTCTGTGTTCCCAGAGATACGCAGCGGAGGAAAACCGCATTGGAACACTATCACATGCCTGCTGTAGTATTTTCCTGCCATACGTGAATCAACTGTTCCATTAAAATTTGTTGAAATATTCAGTCACGATTTTCCTGGTATATTCATATTCGGTTTTGACAAATATTTCTACTAGTCGCTATTTTCCCTAAGTTTGACATTCGTGATACGATTGAAAACAACGACACTTACCGTAAACAGATATGTACAATGTCGTTATTCAAACAGGCCCATGCGGTACGACGTGAGTGAAAACATACAAAATAATTATGTGCTGCATTTATTAAATGTAAAATAAATGTAAAAAATCACAACCAATAAGACCAATAAAATAACAGAAAAACGTCCAAGAAGAACGCTTTCACAATACTAAAGTTTGAACAATGTGAAAAAATAACTCACAGATATGTATTGAACATGTCATATAAACTAATGGCCAAAACAAGGTACACCACCAGTATCGTTAATGCTCAGAGATATTGGGATGAAGCTTTGAGACACGTTGTGGAACCATTCATTCAGCAACAGACACGTGACATTGTCTTCAGACAATGTGAGACCGCATACGGCAAGGCTCACACAGAACTTTATGAAGAACGCGAACATTCACGTTTTACCCTGGTCGGGATGTTCTCCTGATATCAACTCCGTCGAACATTTATGGGATCACCCTGAACAGCAGATCAGAAGATTACATGCGTAACAGTAAACCGTCAAGAACTGGAACAATGTCTCCTCGAAGAATAGCAGCGGATTACCCCAAACGTCATCCAACGTTTGACGTCATCCGTGCGTCGTCGTTTTCAGGCGTCCATTAAAACACAATGTGGACATACTCGGTATCAAGTTGGCTTTGAATGTGCTTTCAGAGATGTTCAAGTCATGTTGAACAAGTGTTGTGACAGTGCTATTGTGAAACGTGTCATTGTTGACCACCATGTGTCTTTGTGTCTCAGTCGATCGTAAAGTGATTGTTTGAATAACATGAGCAGTTATGCACAGTATGTTAAAACTATGCTCTATATACATATTGACTTTCTACATGCTTTTTTTTTATTTCAAAGTCTTTCAAACTCTTGTTATACTTTCTTTTGGGCATTAATTGAAATAACACATCTCCTTTAATACTTAATAACGGCTGCTGAAAGTGGTTGATATTGATTGAGTTATATTTACCAACAATGTGTAATTAATTATGTGGGGGCACGGGTGGCCCAGTCGTCTATGGCGCCGCAATTCGCTGTGCAGAGTTTTGTCCCTTGGGCGAGCCAGAAACCTATGATTGTGGGTTCGAATCCCGGTTCGCCCCGATTATGTTTCTAGGTTTGTCAGCACCATACCCATGCTCGAGGGTTTCACCAAAGTGGTAAACGTCTAAGGCATGCCCCACTTCGAGATTTCCTCCCACATTAAGCTGACACGTCGTGATATAACTGGAATACTGTTAAAAACGGCGTAAAACCCAACTCACACACTCACTCACTAATTAATTATATACTAGTATTACATCCTGGTATAAACAGAGACGAGACTAAGATTCTATTTACCATCTACAATAATAACCCTAACTTTCACTCAGTAATAACCAATGTCTTGAGTGTAAGAATTACAGCTTTCTAGCTACAATGGCAGATAAAATGTATCAGTGATGTCATTTGATTGTGGTGTGATGTTAGGTTTAGATGAAAATCCCAGCTTTACTGATGCATGTCATATATGTTTAGTGGAAACAATGACATAAATATATGTTGCAATTGAAATAAGTATAGATGCTAACAGAATTATATGATAATAACCTAAAACATATATGTGTCCATCAAAACAAATATTAAAGTTTGAACAATTTAAAACAACATAAAACCACAGTGGTAAACTACTTAACACATACAGAGGAGAGTGTTAGTTTTCTCAGTTTAAGAAGCAATCTTACATATGAAAAAAGGCATCTCATGACTTTCTCATATGTATGACACATATAAAACAGTTACACGATAGTATAAACATAACGGTTTTGAACAGCTCACGATGTGAGCTAACACCAGAGCGTTTACTCTGGACTCAGTACTGATAATGCTATTTTCTTCTTTAACTTGACATTTAACAGTAACAATAGTCCTAAAATATATGTACAGATGGGCAATTCCAAAGTAACTACATGATAATGTTGTTTTTCAAACTGTTCAAACAGGTTCACGTATTGACCATATTTCAGGCATGGATTGCTTACATCTGCATATTGTCATTGTATTTGTCATGGCAATTCCTAACCGCCATCAGTCTTTGAGGCCATGACAACCAGTACAGGCCAGTACATCTGGATTACATTGTTGACCAGTACAGTACACTGCGGTTATGACGAACTCAAAGGGACCTCTAATTTTAGTTCGTTACAACCATATTTCGTTATAAGTATATATGCGGCAACTGGCCGGGGTCCAAAAAGAATAAGTTTTATCTGTTAGTTCGTTATTAATTAGCATGTTCGTTATAAAGGTAGTTTACTGTACATTTATATCAACTTACCCTATTTACATTGAAATAATGTCTAAGTTCAACGCAGAACTAATCATAGTAGAGGGAGAGCTGTACACAACAATGAGAACACCCAGAGGAGCAGAGCCCCATTTGAATTTGTCTGTCGAACACACGTGAGCGTTGTGTCGCCTAGAACATCGGCTGCACCGAATTAGCTGACGTCGCTTCCTCTATTTAGACTTCACTATACTCATTGTCGGCTTCGGACCAAGTACTATCTGCAACAACCAATGTGTTTATGTCATCCACACATATTCCATCCAAACATCAACGTTGTCTTTCTGTCATAAATCCCGCAAGGGATGTTACATTTTGTAGGTAAGTTGTTTTACGCCTCAGTTAAATATTCCTGATGACATCCTTTAAATAGTCGAGTCTGGAGTAGACAAACCGACGGTTACTGTTATAGTAAATGTTCCACATCGTTGGGCAAAGATGACACACTATGCACCAAGTTTGTTTGTTTGCTGTTTGCTGTTTAACCGCGAATATTCCGGCTTTGTGATGGGGTCTGTAAATCATCGATTATGGACCAGACAACACAGTGACTGATATCATGAGCATCTAAAACATTCGGATCCAATGACATGCATGGACCAAGTCGCCGATTCTAACCACCCGATGACGTTAGTTGACTAATCATCCAAGTCACCGAGCCAGACCACCCGACCCATTTAGAGCCTCTTACGACAGACATGGATAAGGAGACGCATTCTAACCCGTTGTCCGGTCAATCGCACTTCCGTGTATACTTACACGTTCCGTTCTTTGTTTTCATGGACATGTCCGGTACGGCATACAGATCACCAATGTTCACAGCACCGCCTACAGCTGACTGGTGTTTGGGTGTCTTGTCCGGGACGGCGTAGTTGTCACCATCATTGACAGCACCGCCTACAACTGACTGGTGTTTGGGTGTCTTGTCTGGTACGGCATACAGATCACCAACGTCGACAGCGCCGCCAAGAGCAGGTATGTGTTCGGGTGTATTGTCTGGTACGGCAGTTGAATATAGAATTATGGTGTTCATATTTCAACAAGTAACAACATATTATTCTCCCTAGATATTCTTCCTGAAATTATTAAGCTTAATTTAGAAGGCAACACTCAAACTATAATCACAATTTGAATACAATAGTCAGATATGTGATGAAGTGAAGAAAACCACAATAGAAAAGACTTACAAGTGAAGTGCACTTTGTTGTCAACAGGTTCAACTTGGTATCTGAAAAGAAATATCATATTGTTTTTAAGTTGTTGCTCGTTTCAACACTGGGAACAATTTGCAGGAATAAGTTTCAACATTTTCATAAATAATAAATTTTTTTCACATTTGAGGCGATACCATTGATCTGTAGACATTGATCATCGTATCCCTAAAGGTGATGGGCGTTACCCGCAGTATCATTGGTTGGTTGGTGTGTTGTTTAACGCCACACTCAGCAATATCCCAGCTGTAAGACGGCGGTCTGTAAATAATCCAGTATGGACCAGACAATCCAGTGTTTAATATCATGAGCAGCGATCCGATCAGTTGGGATCGATGACATGCATCAACCAAGTCAGCGAGCCTGACGACCCGATCCCGTTACTCGCCTCTTACGACAAGCATGGCCGCCTTTACGCAACAACAAGATCGAATGTGTCTATTTGTAGTCCCTTGTCCTCCAACAACATACAATCAACGACCACGCTTTACAATAAAAAAAATGAAAATATTTTAGAACTACATGCGGATACAAAAATGTGCGGGTTTTTGTAAAAATCAGTTGCATCATCATTATAAAAGAACAATTATGAAGAAAATATTTGAACGATGAATTACCCGTGATCAGGGTTGATGATGCGACCGTTGTTGTGTGTGTTGATTATATTAATGAATACATTTAAATGAAGGCGACAAAGTCACCTACCCCTATGGAGAGTTTTATGATGAAAACACATAATTAACGTATTATGTACTGCACAAATGCGACAAAACCCTTTCCATATCTCCGAGAAAAACACAGTCGATTGTTCGATTCGGACTATATCACGAGCATGCGTTTATGAATCACTATTAAATAGTGGTTATACCAGGTGTTCGCCCCATCAGCGGCACCCGTCACATGCAAACACAAGTCAAATAATCACATGAAAAAACCCCACGGGAACATGTGGTACAAGTATGAATAGGGACTGAAGCTTCAATGTTCCCCACGTGTCTACAGTTAACCTTATTAAAGCTTTTCTGAGGCCAGGAATGTTTCCTCGAATGTTGTAACCTTGATCAAATAGCTTTTTAGCAAGGAATGTATTAAAATTACGCTCTTTTTGAAATCTTGATTGAAAGTGCATGCTCGAATGTTCTTCAAAAGTTGTGAAATGTAGACACCAATAGCTGTACCTACTGGAATACTGCTTGACATAAAGGGAAAGTTGACTGTTGGAAAGTTGAAGTCATTCCACTTGTCATGCAGTCTAGTGCTTTATCCCTCTGAATCTTTGTGCATAGTTCTACATAAGAAACAGGCGAAGTGGTTTCATTTGTCTTCTTTTTTTCTAGTTCAGGTGGGTAAATCAGTGGAAGGGAACTGTCTATTTGGTGGTTATTGAACGATTTCCGATACCTATGACAACAATATACCTATGACGGGCATTGAGGTGAGGTGAGGTGAGGTGAGGTGAGATGAGATGAGGTGAGGTGAGGTGAGGTGAGGTGAGGTGAGGTGAGGTAAAATCGGGTTTAACGTCGCGTCCAAGATTATTGCACTTATATAGCGACGCTCTACCACTAGACCACGGAGGCGGTCCCGGGGATTGAGTGATGAAATTCAATGGTGGTATACAGTGGAAATACTTGGCACTCTACTCACGTAACATAAAGTGGGTTTTCTGAGACCTCTGCACCATTGTCTGCATCGCTGATAGCTGTGAACAGACATGACGACCAACACCTTTGTTCATTTATGATATTTCTTTAATTATTACTCTTGTGAAATGGGTTGATGTATATTCAAATAAGCTATTTTATTACAAGGAGGGATAAGGAAATGATTTGACAGATGAGAGCTGTATGTTATTACTTTTCATGAAACTGACATTTAATCTTTACATCTGAAATGCTTTATGACACTTTCACCAATGTTCCATTTTCATCTTCAAATCACTTAAAGGGCAAGTTCACACGGAAATGAACCTATTTTTCTTGTACTTTTTCCACATTAAAAGTGTTAACCTAGTAGTGTCATAGACAAAAATATAAAAATATCACAATTAATTAACATATGTTTTGCATTAAAACGATTTATATTTTTCACATTTACCAAGTGTTCTATTTTCATAACAAAAACACCATGGCTTATGCCCCTTGCAATATGACGTCATTGGTGCCAATTGATAAACATTATGACGTCATCATGCTATGTTAGAGCCGCTTCACGTGGTGTAGGTACAGCTGTGTGATTCTAGCGTCTCAGATGCCAGCCAGCATAGTGTTATACTGAGTCACCACTGCGCCGGAGTGTGTCGTAGGCCATGTTGTTTTACCGAAAACTGGTACTTGATATCTTTTGCGTTGAGAATAGACAGGGATCCAGTTGAATTGGCACCAATTACGTCATAATCTAAGGGGGATAACTCAGGCCTGATTAGCTCGAAAAACGAAGGCCTCATAACGGCATATCATTTTCACACTATTGTGAGCTTCCTACTTTCACTGTGAAAAAAATGAGTTTACATTTTCAATCACAGATATTAACTAATTCTAAAATTGCGTTTTGTTTAGAAAAAGAAAGAAAGTGATTTTTGCGTGTACACTTCCCCTTTAACATCAAATTAGAATCTGATACCAAATAATAGTAATATGTTCTGACCGTCATCAAAGAGGTGTAGTTTACCTTGCGTGACGTTTCCCTTTCTTCTCGTCCTTACAACACACACACAGATAACGATTATAATGAGGATGAAGATTCCTCCTCCTGTCCCAGCAGCGATGTACATGGTGTCATCTGGAAGAGAAAACAAATATTGGGCTAGTAAGTATACTGTCCTTGAACTTGGCACATGGATAAGTCTATATAAGTACATTTATGAGTTCGTATATATAAGCAATGAGTATAAGTACTGAATAATCTAAGACAAGATAACTTTTACATGAAGAGAGTCCATGCTGTATACACGCAGATGGAGTTGGTGACGTCAGTCTATGAGGAGCAATCACACGAAGTTACTAGTATTTACTTGATAACGTTTCACCATAAAATTTAGTTATTTGGCTAGGGTTTTCAACTGGTACCACGTATCAGGCCCTGAATAACGAACATGAAGCTATGTAACGTGTAACCTGATAGATACGAGTCACCTTTTATGCAGAGCTGTACAAAACTAGGCATACTAAGCAGAGATTGAGATTATATATGTGTACTACATTCCTAAGTTTCTGTATATCAGTAACCCGTAATTGCCATCATTGCCAACTAACATTAGAATTCAGTGGATCCAAATTTTCTTCGGTTACCCGTTGACGTTAATAAGCACGTCGTTAGTAATGGGTTTATGGTCCACGTTTTTTCCATGCCACTTTCCATGACGACAATATTGCTTACTCTGTTATTCATATACGTTCATTCATTTACAATGACAAAGATAAGTCAATATACGAATTTTCATAAAATGCCGCACCGAAATAATGGGGTTGATCTATCAGAATATCATGTGAAAACCGCAGTGTCTAGAGAGCTATCACAGTACTGTCTGTATCACATTCAGTGCACATTGTTGGTATGTCTTGGATCCTGGGTAAGTATATGGTTTTGTTATATATTCATGAATGTTTCTAAATATCCTATATATCGTACACAAAGGTTAGTATGACGACTAGTACACAACTACCTTGATTATCGTTGCTCGGGGCAGAAGTTATCTTGATAGTTGTAAGATTTGCCAACGTTGTCAGCTGTGAACTTGTCTTATAAGTAGTCCCTGACGACATAAATAATACATACAAATAATTATGAAATTTGCTTACTCACCACAGAGGACATAAAATAACACGCTTCTATAGTTTGAATAATCCGATAGACGAGCCACATCATGTTCAATTGATGTTTAGTGTTTTTAGGAACGCACGTTCGAACATTTTACATACAAAGTTACTAAATGTGTGGATAGCTGATACATATAGTAGGTTAATAAAATACAGAGGATTATTAAAACAGATAAAACGGCTTTCGCCGGCATTAGTGTAAATGACATCACTGGTATCAATACAATATTTCTCTAAATATATAATACATCGTCAGTTTACCTGATACAAATCTACCATGAGTATCGCTGTCTGTGGTGATCGTTGTTGCCGAATCAGTCAGTGGTGTAGTTGACTTATCAGTAGTCCCTGGAATGGCTGCATACATAAATAATATATATTAGTTGTGACATTTACTAGCTTAATATCGATACACATGAACAAGCGATTTTATATTGACCGCCTCCATGGTCAACCGGTTAGAACGTTTGTCCTAAGAGGGTAAGATCGGTGGGTTTGACACCAGGCCAGGTCATACGGAAAGTCGTAGTTTTCCCTGTCCGGTATCAAGGGGAAAAAACGCGATGTTGTCTGTTCGGAGGTAGTGTACTGTGTCTGAATGGGGCATGCATGTTAAACTGCGCCACGGTATCTGAGTGGGCAAACACTATGAAACGGGAATTGTATACGGAATAATACAAGCAACCACACACAAACACACACTCACTCACTACACACATACACACACAGACACGTGCATGTACGTAGCTATATAAGGCGAGTAATCATGGACGCGACGAAAAACATTTCAACTCACTTCCGATAGTGTTTACACCCGATGTATCTCTGGGTGACCGTTTTATAAAGTGCCTCATCTGTAGATATCGTGTTCATAGTTCTTGAACATTTACGTATGGCTCCCGGGTATATATTTCATTAATCAGTTACATCTGCATTCGTTCTTGCACAATGTGTCATAGTATGATGTATGAAATCAGAAAGGACACGTAGATGTAAACAAAGGAGTATGAGCGCATGACAAAAAGATCATACCCAACGTAAGGTTGTTACTGACTCTTAAGCGTTGATCCTCACACCGCCACACAGTCCCAGCTTGAGTGTATTGAGTTGTGGTTAGTGTCATGTTGTGCTGGTAGTCACTACAGCTTACACTGCCATCATTTGATGGGAATAGGTCGTAACGATATGCAAGATTATTGGTTGTACCATTGGGTGAGTATCTGAAACAACAATGACCTGCAAACACTGACGTGAGAACTCGCTGCTCATCTAAATACCAATGTGTGAAGGACATGTTGATAGTAGTGTTGATGGCACTGCAGACTAAGGTGACATTATCGCCTGACTGGAACTGAGTGAGTTGTAGAAGAAGACCACCTGTAACATTCCAAGATACAACCAGCATGAGAAGCAATCAGAAAACAAACATGCAGTGGCATTCTTTTTCGTTCTTCATGTACTTACAATACCCAAATAACTGTAACATGCAAACACGAAACAGATCGGATATAAAGTGCTACAATCACTATTAAATTACACCTACGTCATCCTAATTGTTATACCTTTCGCTTTTGATTAGAAACTCAAACCTACTGTTATTTGTGTACGCAAACCAGCCAAACCACAGCAGAGTAATCAGATGAATCCTGGTGTCCATGTTTCTCCTAAATCAAACATGCTCTCGTCAACATTCTTTCAGGTTTGGTTGAAATAACCCGACGGAAGTTACTACACATGACATACCCACAAAGCAACTTGCATCATTCTCCGCGAGCAAACACGAGCGTTCCACCAAATATGAAATACATCCTTATAAAGGAGGAAATATTCCTACAATCAGCATTCAGCTGTTTTTCCTGGTTTAGGTATTCACGAAAACATACCTGTTATATTTGTATAAGTGGGTAACAAGGACAAATTCGACATGTACGTTCTGAAGGGTTTGGTGTTCGCCAAAACTGACTCGCAAATGTGCATTTGTTCTTGTTCAGATAGAGCTTAATATCATAAACAATATCCCAGATGAAATAAGTCGTGATTTTCGTACTTTGTCACTCTTCAACACCTGTCATGTTGGAATTCCCACGACGTGCACAAACAAAAGTGGTAAAGGAGTACTTTTCAATGCTTCGATCGCGATACAATTACACGACATACACCATATCTATACGTATATAGATATTTCAATACTTTGTATAATGTTGGTTGATTGGTTGGTTTGTTGTTTGACGCCGCACTCAGCAATATTCCAGCTATATGTAAAAAATCGAGTCTGGACCAGACAATCCAGTGATTAATATCATGAGCATCGATCCATGCAATTTGTATCGATGACATGCATGAACCAAGTCAGCGAGCCTGACCACCCGATCCGGACATAGGGAAACCTACGTGTGTCCGTAATCCGTCCTATCAACAACAGAGTAGTCAGGTATACGAGAAAGCCCATGCTGCCAACACATCGAATACACTCTCGTGAATGCCCCTTGAACGTTTCTTAAATACTGTAAAATTAGTCACTTCACACCATGCCCTACACCGAGCCGCATAAAGTGTGGCTGTGCAGTCAACAACCACTCTAATGGAACTGTTATTTCCTGGTTGAGATAGAGTCGGAATCAAGATTTTTTATGAATATGAAAAGGTTTTCGTTGCTCTATTTAGATAATGATGAATACATACCCGTTAGTGTGGATAAAATGGGACGAGTCGCTATTGAATTCAACTGACCGGAGACAGTACATTTGCCATTTAAAATACATTTGGTTTGCAAAGAAATAATAACTTGAAATATACTTTCACAGAAAAAAAATATGTTCAGATAGTCGCGCGTTGAGTCTTTTTGGTGGTATTGATACTTGTTAATTTAAGTTTGACTGTCGGATCGTGACACAGTGGCAGTTTTCACAAAGCAGCCCCGGGTAACCTGCCGATGTATGATATGTGTGCGAGGCAGGCTACAATAGGTTCGTTATCACAACCTATTAAAACTGCCCTAGCCAAATATAACTTAGCAGATTCTTACAAAAGTTTGCACATCGGCTTTTCGATTCAAACCTCAATGAACCGAAAAAATACACAGTCAATGCTTGTAATTAAATTCAATAACAAAAACATGTTTTATCTACAATAGTTTAACCAAAAACAGTTGTATATATCAAAGCGGGCAAAAATGACGAGATTGATAAACATTCCGGGTGTAGGAATACATACTGTGGCGTGACATGAATCTGCTGACTGTTTAATTACGCACATAATTTGACACGCCTACAAAGTCAGTAGCCAATCAACTGAGAGTATGATAAAAACAAAAGTCTTAGGACCTGTCAATCAAGGCAAGAGGCGAGAAGAAGTGCAACACTCAGACTGTAACGAACTGGAACAAATATGTTCGGGAGATGGCGGCTGTTTCAAATGACATGGTCAGTTACCGCCAGATTCAAACATTATTTCCCTGAGAAGGGAAGATACTTTTGGAAAAATGCTGATTAATTAGAAATGAAACCAGAAGACATGAAAGTTGTGGAACCGAGGCGAACCGGAAAAAAAACAGGCGAGCGAGCCTGCACGTTTGCTGTTTCATTCCTTCTCAGCCTTCGGTTCTAAAGAGTTTTTTGGACAATGAATATTCTTTTTTACAAACCTTTAGGAAGAATAATATAAATATCGATCGATACACATTGGTACGATCGTTATAATGAATGAATGCTCCTCTGAGAGGTAGCGGGGACGGAGGTAGGGGTGGCGGTCTACACTGTAGTCAGCGCTGTATTAGCAAAGGTACAATAACACGAGAGTGAGTAACATTTCTTACAACTGGTATCAAACGTGTGTGTGAGATCGAATTCCAGGTCCGTGATAGGCTTCTTCACGGTGATGACCTAAAGGTCAGATTTTGAAGGTCCACTTGATTGCAATTCATTCACATTTTCTCGTTTTTCTGTCGAATTCCGCTATGGTTAAGAATTTTTTTTTAAGGATTTTTAATAATTTTATTTGTTTTGTCACATCAGGTTTGCATTTTCATCATCGCTTTGATAATCCACAGATATTTGCTGAAACGATTTTTGGAGTGTCACACTAAGTGTGAGTGGTCAGCAGTAAGCCGGATGACATCACTCATGGCCGTTATGTTATGTATTATGTATTAATTTGTCACTGCGATCTGAAGAATACCACATATCCATCGATCCATGCTGACATGGTCTCATTTTAGGGTCACGCCGAAGACCCGCGTTCGATTCCCGGCATGGGTACAATGTGTGAAGCCCATTTCTGGTGCCCCCTGCCGTGATATTGCTGGAATATTGCTAAAAGCGGCGTAAAACCATACTCACTCACTCACTCACGGGCGTCGTGAAAGCGTCCAAAAAAAACCGTCGTTTTTCCGTCTAATGAGCATATACGGAAAAAGCGACATTTTCGTGTTTGCAGTTCATGTTGACTATTTAGTTTCGAAAGGGACCTCGTCAGCAAAGGTTATTGCTTGGAGCTTCTATATTTCTGAAGCACTTCATCTGTGTTCAATGGAAGAAACAATGTACCACCCCTGCGTGAGATGTGGTAATGCTCACATGTGAGGCTTTATGACGCTGTCAGTTCCTTGAGTCTACCCTCTCTCATAAGCCTTTTACAACTAAAAAAAGTTTGAATAAAGAAGCTGCTTTTTTTTATCAAAACTCGTTTCCTTTAATACTAGCCTAACTTTGGTTGCTGGCGACCTAGAGACCATTTTTATCTCCTGTTGTCAAGAGAATCCTCTTTTAAATGTTCCCAAATTGGCTTTTCATGTAAATATATGATACATTGCTAGCTATTGTACTGTCTATCGCTAAGAGGGTTTACTATATTATTATTAATAAAAAATTTATATTACATTTTCCAGTCACAATATGGCTGAAATACTGCCGTCGTGACAATAAAGCTTATCTCATTCTGATTTTCCCCGCTGTTTTATTGCTTGAATATTGCTAAACGCGGCGTTAAACTATTCTGATTCACCCACTCGCGTTATGACTGCAGAGTAGTGCAAGCAGATGGTCGAAAATGGAAAGCAGAATGAGATTACAAGAATGTCAGTTCTGTAACCTTTCTGATGTGGATGACATTATTCTCTTGAAGCATTTACTGGCTTGCGAAAATAATAGTGAGTGGGATAGTTGGGTTTAACGCCGTTTTTAAAAGTATTCTAGTTACATCACGGCGTGTCAGCTTAATGTGGGGGGAAAGCCCGAAGAGGTGCAGGTCTCAGACGTTTATCACTTCGGTGAAACCCACAAGCGCGGGTATGGTGCTGACAAACCTAGAAACATAATCGGGGCGAACCGGGGTTCGAACCCACAATCATAGGTTTCTGGCGTGCCTAAGGGACGCAACTCTGCACAGCGATTGGCGCCTTCGACGACTGGGCCACCCGTGCCCCCAGAGAGAATAATAGCGTCATGTAGATGACATTTTTGTTTCAAGCAACCCCTTAAAATACATATCTGCATTTATTTGTTTTTTTTGTATTTGTTGCAAAAGCACGTTTGAAATATGTCATGCATTCTTTTGTATTACAGGCAAGAAGTTTACATACAAATAAAAAATTCTACTTCTACAGTCTCAGAGCAATACTGAATTATACCGAACATCACTGAACAATATTGATGAATAGTGGGTAACACTGAGTAATACTGACATGTTGATTTGTTTGTCGCTGAACACCTCCCTCAGCTACATACAATGGCTGTATGAAGATGGCCTGTAAATAATCGCGGCTGAGCCAGATAATCAAGTGATTACGATAACACACACTATCAGTGTGCAACACACAAACAACCAATCCACCGAGCCTGACAACCCGATTCTCTCCCACCCACTGACTGGTGTAAGGCAATAGATAAAAACATTCAGCGCTTGTACTGTTTGGTTGCTGCCGAGCGTTAATCAGTTATATTCACCCTAGCTTCTGTGTACATAATGTAAAGTTCGTAAGTGTTTAGACGGTTGGGCAAATCATATATCTTAAATAGTTGTGATGAATAGAACGCTTCACTCTCCTACCCAGAGTTCCAAGCGGGCGGTAGCATGCCAGCATAGTACCTCTGCCACAGGCCAGCGCCATGTGACGATTCGTCACATCTTACACAGTCCATTCAAAATATTGCATATGCTTTTCGTCCGTTTCATGTTTGACAAGTCTACACATTTTCATCAACAAATGTCAAAGAATGGTTACGGTTCATTATGAAAGTATCCTAAAACGTGAAAATCTACTTGTTTTGGCGTAGTTGTCCTTTGTTTACATTGGTTCTACGGCTCAACGTGCTGACATTGAAGTCCAACGGAGAGCTAGCGATTCGGTCACTTTGATGTATAAATATATATTGTCATACAACTCACTGTCGCAGTTGTAGTAGCATATCTATATAATTGTGCAAAACAATTTGTAAAGCACCCTCAAATACTTGCATTAGTCCGTTTTATACTGATTTCTGAAAAAGCGCGTTTGTTTTCAGACAAGAGAAAAATTCCTGTCACGTGATATGCTAATTAGCCTGTGGCAGTGGAGTCACCACTGGTGCCGGAGTGTGAGAACGCCTTATAAATTAACATAAATGTTACCAGGATCTACTGTGTCTGCTAAGACGGATTAGGCACCTTGGTTTCTTAGCACGATGAACTAGTTTGGGAATTCAGTTACTTTGTGGCATTTCAGTTCAATGTAGGTGGAAATATGGAAGTTACGCATGTGAAGTTTAGACTGTTTTTAAGAGTATTAAATATTAGGTTTGCGAGTGAAAAGAATACAGATGTTCAGTTAAGGCATATTTTATTCGATGCGGAAAGCCAACACTTAAACTTGATCAATAGGCAGGACAACATAACAACGACTGTGCAAATACAGTATGTGTGCAAATGTAAATTGAGCAATAGGAAAATACATTGTACATTGAAAATAAAATAAGTGTAATTTCTGCATGCGGAAATCATTGCAAACATGATACAGGGGGCAATGCAGAAATAAAGTACATTCATAACTTTGCATCATCATCATCAGCAAGAATCCTAATGTAAAAACGACAAAAATAATTGAAAATGTAAATGATTTAACACAAGGACAATACATTGTGAAAATAAAATAAGTGTAATTTCTGCACACATAAATCATTGTAAACATGATACAGGGGGCCATGCAGAAATTAAGTACATTTATAACTGTTTGCATCATCAGCTGGAATCAGGATATATAAACTACACAAAAATCCCAGTATGCTACGTGTATAACCTAAGTACCTAGTATACACGAGTCAACAATTAGATCGATAGGAGCATTATCCAATGGAGTCATTTCAATATTATCGACATTTTGTGATATTCAACCCGGTTATATCTGGTATATATTCGCTTGAACTTAATGTTCATGCAGCAGTGACAATCATCCTTTGTTGAGGCACTTTGTGCGAGGAAGCCTTAACTGCAAACTATGTTGCTGATAAGCGATACATTGTTACACAATACATGAATACCATAATGTTGGGTCTGTGTTCCCCGAGATACGCAGTGGAGGAAAACCGCATTGAAACACTTTCATATTCCTGCTGTAGTATTTTCCTGCCATACGTGAATCAACTGCTTCATTAACATTTGTTGAAATATTCTATCGCTATTTTCCTGGTATATTCATATTCGGGTTTGAGAAATATTTCTACTGATCGCTATTTTCCCTAAGTTTGACATTCGTGATACGATTGAAAACCACGACACTTACCGTAAATAGATATGTGCAATGTCGTTATTCAAACAGGCCCATGCGATACGACGTGAGTGGAAATATACAAAATAAACATGTGTTGCATTTAATAAGTATAAATGTAAAAACAAATGACAACCAATAAGACCAATAAAATAACAGAAAAACGTCCCAGAAGAACGCTTTCACAATACTAAAGTTTGAACAATGTTAAAAATAACGCACAGATATGTATTGAACATGTCATAATATCCAAAACGAACTATACCAGCAGTATCTTGAATGCTCAGAGATATTGGGATGAAGCTTTGAGACACGTTCGAATCCCGGTTCGCCCCGATTTTGTTTCTAGGTTTGTCAGCACCATACCCGTGCTTGTGGGTTTCACCGAAGTGGTAAACGTCAAAGACCTGCATCACATCGGGCTTTCCTCCTACATATTAAGCTGACACGCCGCGATATAACTGAAATAATGTTAAAAGCGGCGTTAAACCCAACTCACTAACTCTCTCACTCACTATGAGACACGTTGTGGAACCATTCATTCAGCAACAGACACGTGGCATTGTCTTCAGACAATGCGAGACCGCATACGGTAAGGCTCACACAGAACTTTCTGAACAACGCGAACATCCACGTTTTACCCTGGCCGGGAAATTCTCCTGATATCAACTCCGTCGAACATTTATGGGATCACCCTGACCAGATCAGAAGATCACATGCAGCAACTGTCAACCGTCAAGAACTCGAACTTCGAGCTTTCCTCTCACATTAAGCTGACACGTCGTGATATAACTGGAATTCTATTTAAAGCGGCCTAAAACCCAACTCACTCACTCACTAATTAATTCTATAATAGTATTACATCCTGTTATAAACAGTTTGTGTTGATATCAAATATATCAACACCGGCAGATTAATGTCGGAAACATCGAGAGATGCATATACATCAGATAAAATTTATTAGTGATGTCATTTGATTGTGACATCATAGCAATGGTCTTCAAAGATTTTGAGACAGGTGCATTGAAGTGATGTTAGTTCTGGATGAAAATCCCAGCTTTACTGATGCATGTCATATATGTTTAGTGGGAACAATGACATAAATATATGTTGCATTTGAAATAAGTATAGATGCTAACAGAGTAATGGGATAATAACTTCAAACATATAGATGTGTCAATCAAAACAAATATTAAAGTTTGAACAATTTAAAACCACATAAAACCACAGTGTTAAACTACTTAAAACATACAGAGGATAGTGTTGTTTTCTCAGTTTAAGAAGCAACCTTACATATGAAAAAAGGCATCTCATGATTTTGTCATATGTATGACAAATATAAAACAGTTACACGACAGTATAAACATAACGGTTTTAGACAGCTCACGATGCTAACAGAATAATGTGATAATAACCTAAGACATATATGTGTCAGAATGAACCCACAGTGTTAAACTACTTAACACATACGGGATAGTGTTGTTTTCTCTGCTACTGCACTTTAAGAAGCAACCTTAATTATGAAAAAAAGGCATCTCATGATTTTCTCATATATATGACAAATATAAAACAGATACACGACATAAACATAAAGGTTTTGAACAGCTCACGATGTAAACTAACACAAGAGCGATTACTTTGAACTCCTTACTGACAAAGCTGTTATCTTCTTTAATTTGACATTAAACAGTAGCAATGATATTGAAATATAAATGGGCAATTCCACAATAACAACATGATAATGTTGTTTTTTCAAACTGCTCAAATAGGTTCTTGTATTGACCATATTTCAGGCATGGATTGCTTACATTTGCGTATTGTCATTGTGTTGGCATAACAATTGAAATAAGTCGACGGCCATGTACATTATTGTATTCCATCGTTTAAAATATCATCTTCAGGAGACGGCTGTGACAAAATCAAAACTGAGCGTTTTCAGTATTCTCCTAACCGCCATCAGTCTTGGAGGTCATGACAATCGATAGTACATCTGGATTACATTGTTGATCAGCTTACTCCAAAAGGTATGACGTACAGTACACTACGGTTGTGACGAACTCAAAAGGACCTCTAATTGTAGTTCGTTATAACCATATTTCGTTATAAGAATATATGCAGCAACTGGCTGGGGTCCAAAAAGAATAAGTTATATCCGTTAGTTCGTTATTTAAAAACGTTTTCGTTAGAAAGGTAGTTTACTGTACATTTATATCAACTTACCCTATTTACATTGAAATAATGTTTAAGTTCAACGCAGACCTAGACACAGTAGCGAGAGCTGTACACAACAAGGAGAACACCCAGAGGAGCAGGGTCCCATTTGAATTTGTTTGTCGAACAAACGTAAGCGTTGTGTCGCCTAGAACATTGACAGGACCGAATTAGCTGACGTCTCTTCCTCTATTTAGATTTCACTGTACTCATTGTCAGCTTCGGACCAAGTACTATCTGCAACAACCAATGTGTTTATGTCATCCACACATATTCCATCCAAACATCAACATTTTCTTTCTGTCATAAATCCCTCAAGGGATGTTACATTTTGTAGGTAAGTTGTTTTACGCTTCAGTTAAATATTCCCGATGACATCTTTTAAATAGTCGAGTCTGGACTAGACAAACTGACGGTTACTGTTATGGTAAATGTTCTACGTCGTTGGGCAAAGATGACACACTATGTACCAAGTTTGTTTGTTTGCTGTTTGCTGTTTAACCGCGAATATTACAGCTTTTTGATGGGGTCTGTAAATCATCGATTATGGACCAGACAACACAGTGACTGATTTCATGAGCATCTAAAACATTCGGATCCAATGACATGCATGGACCAAGTCGCCGATTCTAACCACCCGATGCCGTTCGTTGATTAATCAACCACGTCACCGAGCCAGAGCACCCGGCCCATTTAGAGCCACTTACGACAAACATGGATAAGGAGACATATTCTAACCCGTTGTCCGGTCAATCACACTTCCGTGTATACTTACACGTTCCGTTCTTTGTTTTCATTGGCATATCCGGTACGGCATACAGATCACCAATGTTCACAGCACCGCCTTCAGCTGGCTGGTGTTTGGGTGTCTTGTCCGGGACGGCGTACTTGTCACCATCGTTGACAGCACCGCCCACAGCTAGCTGGTGTTTGGGTGTCTTGTCCGGGACGGCATACAGATCATCAACGTTGATAGCACCACCTACAGCCGACTGGTGCTTGGGTGTTTTGTCTCGTACGTCATTCAGATCACCAACGTCGACAGCGCCGCCAAGAGCAAGTATGTGTTCGGGTGCATTGTCTGGTACGGCAGTTGAATATATAATTATGGTGTTCATATTTTAACAAGTAACATCATATTATTCTCCCTAGATATTCTTCCTGAAATTTTTAAGCTTAATGTAGAAGGCAACACTCAAACTATAATCACAATTTGAATACAATAGTCAGATGAAGTGAAGAAAACCACAATAGAAAAGACTTACCATTGAAGTGTACTTTGTTGTCAACAGGTTCAACTTGGTATCTGAAAAAAAATATCATATTGTTTTTAAGTTATTGCTCGTTTCAACACTGGGAAAAAATTGCAGGAATGAGTTTCAACATTTTCATGAATAATAAAAAAATTTCACATTTGAGGCGATACCAATGATCTGTCGACTTGTGTCATCGTATCCCTAAAGGTGATTGGCGTTACCAGCAGTGTCACTGGTTGGTTGGTGTGTTGTTTAACGCCACACTCAGCAATATCCCAGCTATATGACGGCAGTCTGTAAATAATCCAGTATGGACCAGGCAATCCAGTTCTTAATATCATCGGCATCGATCCGATCAATTGGGTTCGATGAGCGAGCCTGACCACCCGATCCCGTTAGTCGCCTCTTACGACAAGCGTGGTCGCCTTTACGCAGCATCAAGATCTAATGTGTCTATTTATAGTCCATTGTCCTCCAACAACATACAAACAACTATCACGCATATTAATACAATACAAATTTGATAATATTTTAGAACTACCTGCAGATACAAAAATGTGCGTTTTTTAAAAAAAACAAACACTTGCATTATCATTATAAAAGAACAATTATGAAGAAAATATTTGAACGATGAATTACCCGTGATAAGGGTTGATGATGCGACGGTTGTTGTGTGTGTTAATTATATTAATGAATACATTTAAATGAAGGCGACAAGGTCACCCACATCTTCGAGAGTTTTATGATGAAAACAAATAATTTACGTACTATGTACTGCATAAATGCGACAAAACCCTTTCCATATCTTCGCGAAAAACAGAGTCGATTGTTTGATTCGGACTATATCATGAGCATGTGTTTATGAATCACTATTAAATAGTGGTTATGCCAGGTGTTCGCCCCATCAGCGGCACCCGTCAAAAACACATGCAAACACAAGTCAAATAATCACATGAAAAAAACCCACGGGAACATGTGGTACAAGTCTGAATAGGGACTGAAGCCTCAATGTTCCCCACGTGTCTACAGTTAACCTTTTTAAAGCTTTTCTGAGGCCAGGAATGTTTCCTCTAATGTTGTAACCTTGACCAAACAGCTTCTTAGCAAGGAATGTATTGCGCTCTTTTCGAAATCTTGATTGAAAGTGCATGCTCGAATGTTCTTCAAAAGTTGTGAAATGTAGACACCATTAGCTGTACCTACTGGAATACTGTTTGACATAAAGGGAAAGTTGACTGTTGGAAAGGTGAAGTCATTCCACTTGTCATGCAGTCTAGTGCTTTATCCCTCTGAATCTTTGTGCATAGTTCTACATATGAAACAGACGAAGTGGTTCCATTTGTCTTCTTTATTTCTAGTTCAGGTGGGTAAATCAGTGGAAGGGAACTGTCTATTTGGTGGTTATTGAACAATTTCCGATACCTTTAACAACAATATACCTATGACGACTCATACGGGCATTGTGGTGAGGTGAGGTGAGGTGAGGTGAGGTGAGGTGAGGTGAGGTGAGGTGAGGTGATGTGAGGTGAGGTGAGGTGAGGTGAGGTGAGGTGAGGTGAGGTGATGTGATGTGATGTGAGGTGAGGTGAGGTGAGGTGAAGTGAGGTGAGGTGAGGTGAGGTGAGGTGAAAGTGGGTTTAACGTCGCGTCCAAGATTATTGCACTTACATAGCGACGCTCTACCACTAGACCACGGAGGCGGTCCCGGGCATTGCGTGATGATGAAATTCAAAGGTGGTATACAGTGGAAATACTTGGCACTCTACTCACGTAACATAAAGTGGGTTTTCTGAGACCTCTGCATCATTGTCTGCATCGCTGAAAGCTGTGAACAGACATGACAACCAATAACTTTGTTCATTTATCATTTTTCTGTTCTTATTACTCTTGTGATATGTGTTGATGTATATTCAAAAAAGCTATTTTATTACAAGGAGGGATAAGGAAATGATTTGACAGATGAGAGCTGTATATTATTATGTTTTATGAAACTGACATTTAATCTTTACATCTGAAATGCTTTATAACGCTGTCATGAATGTTCTGGTTTCATCTTCAAATCACTTAACATCAAATTATAATCTGATATCAAATAATAGTAATTTGTTCTGACCGTCATCAAAGTGGTGTAGTGTTTACCTTCTGTGACGTTTCCCTTTCTTCTCGTCCTTACAACACATACACAGATAACGATTATAATGAGGATGACGATTCCTCCACCTGTCCCAGCAGCGATATACATTGTGTCATCTGGAAGAGAAAACAAATACTAGGCAAGTAAGTATACTGTCCTTGATCTTGGCACATGGATAAGTCTATATAAGTACATTTATGAGTTCGCATATATAAGCAATGAGTATAAGTACTGAAAAATCTAAGACAACATAACTTTTACATGAAGAGAGTCCATGCTGTTTACACGCAGATAAAGTTGGTGACGTCGGTCTATGAGAAGCAATGATACGAAGTTACTGGTATTTAGTTGATAATATTTCACCAATTTAGTTTGATTGGGAAGTTTTCGAAAGGGAAATGTATATATAAAGCACAGTAAAGTTCTAACTCTGAGGCACAATATAGTAAAATTGGAATAAGTGGATTAAGATTAAACACACTTTTAATTGGCTAGCGCTTTCAGCTCGTACAAAGATGAGTCTCATCGATCAGGCCATAACTGAATAACGAACATAAAGGTGTGTAACGCGTAACCCGATAGATACGAGTAACCTTTTATGTAGAACTGTACAAAACTAGGTTTTAGGCATACTTAGCAGAGATGGAGATCACATATGACTACTACATTCTAAAGTTTCTTTATATCCGTAGCCTATAATTGCCATCATGGCCGACTAACATTAGGATTCAGTGGATCCAACTTTTCTTCGGTTACCCGATGACGTTAATACGCACGTCGTTAGTAATGGGTGTATGGTCCATGTTTTTTTCCGTGCCACTTATCGTGGCCTGACGACAATATCGCTTACTCTGTTATTTATAATACTTCATTCGTTTACAATGACAAAGCTAAGTCAATATGAGAAGTTTAATAAAATGCCGCACCGAAATAATGGGGTTGATGTATCACAATATCATGTAAAAACCGCAATGTCTAGAGAGCTATCACAGTACTGTTTGTTTTAAATGTACATTCAGTGCACATTGTTGCTATGTCTTGCTATGTCCTGGGTCAGTATATGGTTTTGTAATATATTCGTGAATGTTTCTAAATATCACGGGTTACCCAAGGGTTAGTATGACAACTAGTACACACCTACCTTGATTATCGTTGCGCGGGGCAGGAGTTATCTTGATAGTTGTAAGATTTGCCAACGTCGTCAGCTGTGAACTTCTCTTATAAGTAGTTTTGTGAAAGCCTGACGACATAAATAATATATACAGATAAATATGAAATTTGCTCGCTCACCACAGGGGACATAAAATAACACACTTCTATAGTTTGAATATTCCGATAGACGAGCCACATCATGTTCAATTTAGTGTGTTTAGGAACGGGCGTTCGAACATTTGACTTACAAAGTTACTAAATTTGTGGATAGCTGAAACATATATTAGGTTAATGGCATACAGAGGATTATTAAAACAGATAAAATGGCTTTCGCTGGCATTAGTGTGAATGACATAACTGGTATCAATACAATGTATCTCTAAATATATAATACATCATTAGTTTAACTGATACAAATCTACCATGAGTATCGCTGTCTGTGGTGATCGTTGTTGCTGAATCAGTCAGTGGTGTAGTTGATTTATCAGTAGTCCCAGGAATGACTGCATACATAAATAATATATATTATTTGTGACATTTACTAGCTTAATATCGATACACATGAACAAGCGATTTTATATTGACCGCCTCCATGGTCAACCGGTTAGAGCGTTTGTCCTGAGAGGGGGAAATCGGTGGCTTTGACACCAGGCCAGGACATACGACGAGGCATAGTATTCTCCTTGGGGAAAAACACGGTTTTGTCTGTTCGGAGTTAGTCTACTGTTTCTGAATGGGGAATGCATTAAAACTGCGGCTCGCTGTCTGAGGTATCACTTTGAAACAGGCATGTGTCCTGACCAATACAAGCAACCACAAACACACGCACACAAACACACACACACACACACACACACACACACACACACACACACTCACACACACACTCACACAAACGTACATGGACGTCGCTATATAAGTGGAGTAATGATGGACGCGACGTAACAATTTCACCTTACTCTCCGATAGTGCTAATACCGTATGTATCTTTGGGTGACCGATTTATAGAGTTCTTAATTTGTAGATGGCGTGTTCATAGTCCTTGAACATTTACGTATGGTTCCCAGGTATATATTTCATGAATCAGTTACATCTGCATCCGTTCTTGCACAATGTGTCATAGCATGATGTATGGGATCAGAAAGGACACGTTGATGTAAACAAAGGAGTATGAGCGCATAACAAAAAGATCATACCCAACGTAAGGTTGTTACTGACTCTATTGCGTTGATCCTCACACCGCCACACAGTCTCAGCTTGGATGTATTGAGTTGTAGTTAGTGTCATGTTGTGCTGGTTGTCACCACAGCTTACACTACCATCATTTGATGTGAATAGGTCGTAACGATATGCAGTATCATTATTGGGTGAGTTTCTGTTACAACCATGATCATGACCTACAAACACTGACGTGAGAACTCGCACCTCATCCATATACCAATATCTGAAGGACGTGTTGATAGTGGTGTTGATGGAACTGCAGACTAAGGTGATATTACCTCCTGACTGGAACTGAGTGAGTTCTAGAGGGAGACCACCTACAACATTCCAAGATACAACCAGCATGAGAAGCAATCAGAACACAAACATGCAATGGCATTCTTTGTCGTTCTTTATGTACTTACAATACCCAAATAACTGTAACATGCAAACACGAAACAGATAGGATATAAAGTGGTACAATCACTATTAAATTACACCTACGACATCCTGATGCTTCCATCCTTCGGGTGATTAGAAATTCAAACCTACTGTTATTTGTGTACGAAAACCATCCTATACACAGCATGATTAGAAATTCAAACCTACTGTTATTTGTGTACGTAAACCATCCTATACACAGCAGAGTAATCAGGCGAATCCTTGTGTCCATGTTTCTCCTAAATCAAACTTCCTCTCGTCAATATTCGGTTGAAATAAGTTACTACACGTGAAATACACACAGAGCAACGTGCAACATTCTTCGTGAACAAACATTAGAGCTCCGCTATCTGTGAAATACATCCTTATGAAGGAGGAAATATTCCTACAATCAGCATTCGCTCACCTGCAGATGTTTTTCCGGGTTTAGGTATTGATAGATACATACCTTTAGATATTTTCACAATGTACAACTTGCATTACTGCCAGTTTGTGGTTGCGTGCAGTTGTCGGTACATATACCAAAGGGATAATGTTTCATTGTCTATCCTGGCGTATTTGGATCATGTAATCACTTTGTTGGTGGGGGGTTTCCATTCTTCGTGTGATGTTAATGAGAACATACTAGACACTGCCGATTCATGAATACAAATCGCTGAGATCCGTATGGGCGAGCTCTCATTCACAAATAGATGGTCACGTGTATGTTCAATAAGTTAACACACATCCCTGCTTTTCGAAAGGTTTATAATTTAATCCTAGTGTTTGACCCTGTTGTGGAAAGAAATATTGCGGAAAATAATTGAAAATTATACCATATCCTTTTATAGTCTTTGTTTATGCTGTGAAAAAGTGTGCGTATGGTTTGACGCCGGATGTTGTGCGGCGTGACGTCACACGTGTACGACTGGTCCGTGACAGGTCATGAGTGTTGCCCTGCTAGATAACCTCTTCAAAGAGATAATGTTCGTTTTAAGCTGTTCCTCTTTGCAGCATATCCAGGCCACGTAGATGTTAATTTTCATTTTGCCGAGGCTTTGCATAAGCGTTGTTATAAGAATAGAGTGTTTTTTTCTGAGCACCTGAAAGATAAACAATCATTTGGGATGTTCACATTGAAATAACCACGTGTGTGATAATCATATTCCATGCTAGCATGCAAGCATCCAAATTGTCTGCCACGGATTAAACATGCACGTCCAAACTGTGAATCACGACCTTCAAGTCAAGGATGTCTCCATGCATATGCACTGTAAGATGTATTATTAAATTTAAAAACATTCAATACTTTTCTTTTTATTAAAATTTATTAACCACAGTTATATATGCATATTTCCTTATCTAGAATAGTCATACAATATCAATGTCCCCAGTTTCCAGGTCCGTGTACCTTGTGTTGTAATCAAAAATGCATCTTACCAAAAAACTGTCCAATTGTCGATACTCGCTTACACATTCTGGTGGGTAGGAGTTATATAAACACAATTTGAATATAACTTTCATGTGTGTTTTTTTCCAGGTCGTAGTATATATCATGTTGTGGTGAAAGTAGTAATCTAGTTGTATTATACTGCAATGCTTGATGGAACATGCATGAGACTCGAATTAATTGAAAACATAGCCAGTAATCTGTCAGCCTATCAAGCCTTTATTTCTACAGGAAGAGGACAATAAACATTGAATAGATACTCAAATAAAGCCGAACCAGTACGTCACACAATGTAATAGATAATGTGAATTCAGGACATTCAACTATTGACTTTCAGTCATTCACGCTTTCCTGTTAGAGATTCAGTGAACATGATATTTACACAACATATTACGTGGATACCGTTTGCGTAACTAATGATTCCAAAGGGATAAGGTACAGATACTTTTGAAGTGACACAAACACGAAATATACATTACAGATGCTAGTAAACCCCAGCTAAAATAATCACATATGTATGCTATATACAGGTCCTAACAACTGTTCAGATGTTTAGATGAAAATAGGTTATGATACAATTTAAAACGTCAACACCATGGAACTAGTGTCGAATAACTGCCGAAAGGCAAAATAATGATGACAACCGCATGAATGCATCACTGAAAATCAGTTGTGACACCAGGTGTTACGAAACAGGTTAAGCATGTCTTGCCTTTTACAGCGGTAACTCCTATGCACAATTTTCATAAAACATGGTGTTTGTTTTTGCAACACCCAGGAATAATCCTGCTATACGACGATACATCAGTAGTGACAAAATGTTTTTATTATACCAATGGCGTAATGTCATTATGATAATAGCTTAACATATTGGCCGAAAATGCCACAAACACTGGAGGATGTATATATATTTGCTGGTCTGACAACTTAAAACAGTGGTTTTCACACTTCTAAGTTATCATTTGTGGATTTTCGTAGTCAGCATTCTCGGGCACAGTGTTGTAGTAAACACAGTTTGCATTTATGCTGGAGTGTCTGGAGGCTTCCTTCTTGATCTCGGAGTAACAGGGATCTGTATTGCCATTGTGAGCCAAAGTGTCGTATTGAGGTGCGTCAACCCCAGCCAGTGATACATCTGTACAAAACACAGATACAAATAAGGAGTGTTGTAGACACGAGTCATGTTTTACGTTACACACTGACACACGATGCTTCACAACAGTTTATTTGTGATACAAAGCTCCTCAGCATTAATATTGTTTATTATTTGTATTGAGATGATCTGTCATAACCAGCTGTCATCCAATGTTTGGCTGCCCTTCTTGAAAAGTTTTAGATTGTTCTCACTGACAAGGCCTCAAATAACATAACCATTTTGCGTAAGCATCACTACATTAATTGTTTGATTAAAGAATTTGGTATAAATGACATAATGATATCAAATAACGCCACATGTGAGGGCAGTATGTTAATTGATGATGAAATCTGCTGAATCAATGAATCAGTACCATCAACTTTTGACTTGACTGTAAAACCTGAAGACATATCCATTCCTCTTTTGTACTGGATTCCAAAGCTCTATAACAATCCGTACAAAGAGAGATATATTGCTGGGTTCAGCAAATGTACCACAAAATCCCTGTCTCTACGATTAACCATAATCATTCATACAATCAAGAAAGAACTTTATATTTTAACAAAAAATATTTGAGACAAATGGAATTATTACCATGTGGATTCTCAAAAAAATATATGATTTGCTTGACTTTTTTACAAACTCTGAAAAGAACCAACTTCAATTCTGTCAAAACATTTGATTTTTCAACTTTGTACACCACAATACCATTTGGGAAACGTGAAGGAAAACTTCATGCCTTGTTCCATGAGGCTTGTTTATAAAGATGGTGACCATAGATAGCGTTACTTATCTATCATCAGAGGTTCAGGTCAATTTGTCAAACATGGAAGCAAATGCCCAAAATAGGGATGACTTCAACTTTGCAGTGCTCAACGTTCACTTTGTGTGGAGCAGTATTCCATCAGCAAGAGCCCTTGGTGTCTTCATTTCACAACTTTTGAGGTATATTGCTCTTTCTACCAAGATTTCAAAGATCGTCACACTGCTCTTGCTTCGAAGCTGATTGATCAGGGTCACAGCATTTAAGGCACTAATAATGCTTTCAAAAAGATTTATGGTAGACATGTAGGTGAGATGTGGAATCACTTTATATTGACAATATTATGACACATGTATTAAAATCCGTTTTTTAAATCAGTAACGGCAAAAGGTACAAGTACGACCTACAAATCACATGATATTAAATCAGTTTCTGAATACATATAATTGTAAAATATTGCTACCCTCCTTACAAGTGGTGTAGATTACCTTGTTTGACGTTTACATTTAGTCTCCTCACAACACCTACACAGATACGATTACGATGAGGATCATGATGCCAACCCTTGCCCCAGCAGCGATGTACATGGTGTCATCTTGAACATAAAACTTATACTGGGCCACTGGGCGTCTGGTCCATGATCTTTGAAAACTTTAATGTGAAAAACGGATTATCTAGAAATATAGCATGAATGCTTTATAACGCTGTCATGAATGTTCTGGTTTCATCTTCAAATCACTTAACATCAAATTAGAATCCGATACCAAATAATTCTAATTTGTTCTGACCGTCATCAAAGAGGTGTAGTTTACCTTGTGTGACGTTTCCCTTTCTTCTCGTCCTTACAACACATACACAGATAACGATTATAATGAGGATGAAGATTCCTCCACCTGTCCCCGCAGCGATATACATGGCATCATCTTGAAGAGAAAACAAATACTGGGATAGTAAGTATACTGTCCTTGAACTTGGCACATGGAAAAGTTTATATAAGTACATCTATGAGTTCGTATATATATAAGCAATGAGTATAAGTACTGAATAATCTAAGACAACATAACTTTTACATAAAGAGAGTCCATGCTGTATACACGCAGATAGAATTGGTGACTTCGGTCTATGAGGAGCAATGATACGAAGTTACTAGTATTTACTTGATAATGTTTCACCATATAATTTAGTTTGATTGGGACGGTTTTGAAAGGGAAATGGGATACATATAAAGCACAGTAAAGTTCTTGTCTCAGGCACAATATAGTAAAATTAGAATAAGTGGAGTAAGATTAAACACTGTTTTAATTGGCTAGTGCTTTCAACTCGTACCACGTATGAGTCTCATCAAGCCATAACTGAATAACGAACATGAAGTTATGTAACGCGTAACCTGATAGATACGAGTAACCTTTTACGCAGAACTGTACAAAACTAGGTTTTAGGCATACTTAGCAGAGATTGAGATTATATATGAGTACTACATTCTTAAGTTTCTGAATATCAGTAACCTTTAATTTCCATCATGGCCAACTAATATTAGAATTCAGCTGATCCAACTTTTCTTCGGTTACCCGATGACGTTAATACGCACGTCGTTAGTAATGGGTGTATGGTCCATGTTTTTTTCCGTGCCACTTATCGTGGCCTGACGACAATATCGCTTACTCTGTTATTTATAATACTTCATTCGTTTACAATGACAAAGCTAAGTCAATATGAGAAGTTTAATAAAATGCCGCACCGAAATAATGGGGTTGATGTATCACAATATCATGTAAAAACCGCAATGTCTAGAGAGCTATCACAGTACTGTTTGTTTTAAATGTACATTCAGTGCACATTGTTGCTATGTCTTGCTATGCCCTAGGTCAGTATAGGTATTGTTATATATTCATGAATGTTTCTAAATATCATATATATCGTACACAAAGGTTAGTATGACGACTAGTACACAACTACCTTGATTATCGTTGCTCGGGGCAGAAGTTAACTTGATAGTTGTAAGATTTGCCAACGTTGTCAGCTGTGAACTTCTCTTATAAGTAGTCCCATGAAAGCCTGACGACATAAATAATATATACAGATAATTATGAAATTTGCTCGCTCACCACAGAGGACATAAAATAACACACTTCTATAGTTTGAATATTCCGTTAGACGAGCCACATTATGTTCATTTTAGTGTGTTTAGGAACGGGCGTTCGAACATTTTACATACAAAGTTACTCAATTTGTGGATAGCTGAAACATATATTAGGTTAATGACATACAGAGGATTATTAAAACAGATAAAATGGCTTTCGCTGGCATTAGTGTGAATGACATCACTGGTATCAATACAATGTATCCCTAAATATATAATACATCGTTAGTTTAACTGATACAAATCTACCATGAGTATCGCTGTCTGTGGTGATCGTTGTTGCTGAATCAGTCAGTGGTGTAGTTGATTTATCAGTAGTCCCAGGAATGACTGCATACATAAATAATATATATTAGTTGTGACATTTACTAGCTTAATATCGATACACATGAACAAGCGATTTTATATTGACCGCCTCCATGATCAACCGGTTAGAGCGTTTATCCTGAGAAGGGAAGATCAGTGGCTTTGACACCAGGCCAGGTCATACGACAAGGCATAGTATTCTCCTTGGGGAAATACACGGTTTTGTCTGTTCGGAGTTAGTCTACTGTTTCTGAATGGGGAATGCATTTAAACTGCGCCATGCTATCTGAGTTATCACTTTGAAACAGGCATGTGTCCTGACCAATACAAGCAACCACACACACACACACACGCACGCACGCACGCACGCACGCACGCACGCACGCACGCACGCACGGACGCACGCACACACACACACACACACACTCACACACACTTTCACACACACACACTCACACACGTACATGTACGTCGCTATATAAGTGGAGAAATGATGGACGCGACGTCACAAATTTCACCTCACTCTCCGATAGTGCTAATTCCGTATGTATCTGTTGGTGACCGATTTATAAAGTTCTTAATTTGTAGATGGCGTGTTCATAGTCCTTGAACATTTACGTACGGTTCCCAGGTATATATTTCATGAATCAGTTACATCTGCATCCGTTCTTGTACAATGTGTCATAGCATGATGTATGAGATCAGAAAGGACACGTTGATGTAAACAAAGGAGTATGAGCGCATAACAAAAAGATCATACCCAACGTAAGGTTGTTACTGACTCTATGGCGTTGATCATCACACCGCCACACTGCCCCAGCTTGGATGTATTGAGTTGTAGTTAGTGTCATGTTGTGCTGGTTGCCACCACAGCTTACACTACCATCATTTGATGTGAATAGGTCGTAACGATATGCAGTATCATTATTGGGTGGGTTTCTGTTACAACCATGATCATGACCTACAAACACTGACGTGAGAACTCGCACCTCATCCATATACCAATATCTGAAGGACGTGCTGATAGTGGTGTTGATGGAACTGCAGACTAAGGTGATATTACCTCCTGACTGGAACTGAGTGAGTTCTAGAGGGAGACCACCTGTAACATTCCAAAATACAACCAGCATGAGAAGCAATCAGAACACAAACATGAAGTGACATTCTTCGTCGTTCTTCATGTACTTACAATACCCAAATAACTGTAACATGCACACACGACACAGATCGGATATAAAGTTGTACAATCACTATTAAATTACACCTACGACATCCCATTGGTTCTATCCTTCATGATTAGAAATTGAAACCTACTGTTATTTGTGTAAACAATCCATCCTATACACAGTAGTGTAATCAGATGAATCCAGGTGTCCATGTTTTTCCTAAAGCAAGCATCCTCTCGTCAACATTCTTGAAGGTTTGGTTGAAATAACCCGACTGAAGTCCCTACACATGACATACACACAGAGCAACATGCAGCATTCTCCACCAGCAAACACGAGCGCTCCACCAAATATGAAATATATCCTTATAAAGGAGGAAATATTCCTACAATCAGCATTCAGCTGTTTTTCCTGGTTTAGGTATGCACGAATACATACCTGTTATATTTGTATAAGTGGGTAACAAGGACAAATTCGACACGTACGTTCTGAAGGGTTGGTGTTCGCCAACACTGACTCGCAAATGTGCATTTGTTCTTGTTCAGATAAAGCTAAATATCATAAACAATATCCGAGATGAAATAAGTTCTCATCGCCGGGTTAAATAAACAATTTGGGTTGAACTTGAAATGACGTTCAGGTTTCGTGATCCGATCTTGACACAACGAGGAGTGACAAACCAGCCTTCCTCATGGTGACCTGTCGACATTTATGCTAAGAAGGCAATCATAAGCTCGCTGCATAACCAGTTGTAACGTCAGGGCGTGAACTTCTATTTTTCAGGAAAAAAATGCCTCTGTGGGGACGTGGATAGAGCGTCTGCCCCGAGAACCCGAGGTCAGTGGCTCGAACCCTGTCCACGTTATATCAGGGGCGGTCGGGTAGCCTAGTGGTTAAAGCGTTCGCTCGTCACGCCGAAGACCCAGATTCGATTCCCGACATGGGTACAATGTGTGAAGCCCATTTCTGGTGTCCCCCGCTGTGATATTGCTGGGATATTGATAAAAGCGGCGTAAAACCATACTCGATTACACGTCATATCAAAAGAATATAACATTGTGCTTGTTGTGATCCTGCGCGGCGCTTGGTAATAAGGGGGCTGAACAAGGATTGGTGAGCTTGGGTTATTATGTACCTATGCGGGGTATTCATGTAAAACTGTGGCATGGTATCTCTGATGGGATTATTCTATTTTATCCTGACCAGTACAAACAGCCACACACAACAGCTAACTCTGTGATATAATCTTGAACGCAATTTCATCATACACTGATATCCGTTGAAGTGAAAAGGTCGTAACTATTTGCATAACTATCGCCTGTGATGTTGAGAACTCGTACGTCATCCATATACCTTTGTGTAAACTCCATGTAGATAGTGGTGTCAGTAGTGCTGCAGACTAAGGTGACATGTACGCCTGACTGGAACTGAGTGAGTGATAGGAGGAGACCACCTGCAATACGGACCTGTCAATCAAGGCAAGAGGCGACAAGAACTGCAACAGTCAGACTGTAACTAACTGGAACAAATATGTTCGAGAAAAGGCGGCTGTTTGAAATGACATGGTCAGTTACCGCCAAATTCAAACATTCAACACTTTTGGAAAAATGCTGTTTAGAAATGAAACCAGAAGACATGAAAGTTGTGGAACCGAGGCGAGCGGGAAAAAAACAGGCGAGCGAGCCTGCACGTTTGCTGTGTCATTCCAACGTATGTCATCGTATCCCAATTGCGTAAATCGATGCTCATGATGTCAATCACTGGATTGTCATGTCCAGACTCAATTATTTACAGACCGCCATCATACAGCTGGAATAAAGTGCGGCGTTAAACAACACACAAACAAACACAAAATAAATAAAAACTAATTAAAAAGGAGATCGGATGGACCGTAACCTGGCTGGTTGTGTGTTGTTCCCGGTGACTTGGGACTTTGAGTATGGTATCAAGCACTGTTTCCTTTTCCTTTTCCCACCCTCTGACTTGTGTAATGCAACAGACAAAACATTCAACGTTTGTACTGTCGGGTTGCTGCAGGCCGAGCGTACAGTCATATTTCCTCGAGCTAATGTTCTCATCGTACAAATGCTATCTTTTATTGATATATTTATGATGTGTAATTCGTTCGTATTTAGATGGTTTGGCAAATCACGTATGTATAATCACAAGTATTGATTATTAGGTTTCAGAGAGAAAAGAACACAGTTCGTCAGGCGAGGCATATTTTTTTCATGCCGAAAGCAGATAAGGAAGTAAAATCCACATGTCAAAATAAAACACTTAAACTTGACCAACATGTAGGACAACATGAAACCGACTGTGCGACTAACCTGTGAGTGGAAATGTAAATGATTGAACAATAGGACAATACATTGTGAAAATCAAATAAGTGTTATTTCTGCACACATAAATCATTGTAAACATGATACAGGGGACCATGCAGTAATAAAGTACATTTATAACTTTGCATAAACATCATCAGCAAGAATACTTATGTAAAAACGACAAAAAGAATTCCGAGTATGCTGTTTTGTACCTAAGTACATGTATATACGAGACTACAATCAGTTCGTTATTAACATGATCCAATGGAGTTCAAATATATTTTATAATAAGCAACATTTTGTTATATTCAACCCCGTTATGTCTGACATATATTCTATTCGCATGATTTGAATGTTCCTGTTGTAGTGACAATCAGCCTTTGGTGAGGTACTTTGTGCGACGAATCTTTTAATTCAAAATATATAACTTGCTGATAAGCGACAGAATGTTACACAATACACGAATAAGATAATATTGATTTGAGTTGCCCGAGATACGCGGTGGAGGAAAACCGCATTGAAACTCTATCAAATCCCTGTTGTAGTATTTCCCTGCCATAAATGAATCAGCTGCCCCATTGAAATTTGTTGAAATATTCTGTAACGACTTTCCTGGTATATTCATATTCGGTTTTCATAAATATTTTAACTGATCGCTATTTTCCGCTAGTTAGACATTTGTGATACGACTGAAAACACTGACACATAATGTAGCCAAATATATACAATGGCGTTATAAAATCAGACCTATGCGATACGACCGGAGTGAGAACATCCAAAATATATATTTTTTGCACTGAAATAAGTATAAATGTCAAAAACATGACAACCAAGACTAACAATAACATGTCCTTGCAAAAAGCTTTAACAATATTAAAGTTTGGACAATGTGCAAAAAATAAAAACACAAATATTCGTCAAATATGTGATATGAACTAGTGTCCAAAAGAAGGTATACAACTTAAAAAGTTTTCACCATTTTGATAACTTGACAAAATCAATATAAATTAAGAATTAAATATGTCGGAGGACAACTCAATGTATTCGGTGAGAAAAAGTGGAAAAAATGACATTATTTGTAAAAATCGTGTATTTTACCGAAACGACTTTGGGCTATGAAGAGCGAAATGCACGTGTACAAGAGGTGTATAAAACTGAGGATACGGCATGATATGACGACATCAACAAACAGAACGTTTAACATCTATACAGGGGGAGAGAGCCGTTGGTGGGAGCAACATGGAGCCACCCACGCCACCATTGCAAGAACGTTTCAGTGCACCCGTGCCACCTTCAACAGATTAATGCAACGCTTGCAACAGACAGGACAGACATCAGACAGTCGTAGAAGCGAGTGACCACGCCCAATTATCGGTCCAATCATCTCCGAAATCGCCTTATTACAGCGACGGTAACGGCAGCGACGGCACTGGGACACAGGGTGAGTCGAGGGATAGTGTGGAGATTAAGAGAACGTGGTATCAGAGCAGGTCGACCCTACTGCGGAGTGATATTAACACGTCAACATCAACGTAACAGATTGACATAGGTCAGAGCAAGAGTCTTGGGGACGCGTCATGTTCTCCGATGAGAACAGATATTCCTTGTACAGCGAGTATACAGACGATCGCGAGTATCTGAACGTTTAGCGCCAAATTGTGTTCCATGTAACGAACTTTTCATCACTCAAGTACGTACGTGTCTGTGACATGGCTATTTACAAATACCGCTCGGTCAGATACCATAGAAAGTCAACTCGTTTCATAAAAAAATGTTATCTGACGAGAATGATTGCAGTACTCTTTATTGCCAACTTACATATGTCATGATATTACCTTTTACAGAACATGAATTATTTGGTATACCATGTATAAGCAATTGTTCACGAATTCGCATTGACAATCCTGAGCGTGTCGCATTCCCGTCTAAACGTTATGTAATTTCTGAAATTAAACACGTGTACAGGAATTCATTGTTGTCTACATTCATAGCCCTTAGTTTCATGTTAGAGGGACGCGAACATGTGCAAAACTGTACCTACAGCACTGAGTTAAACTCCTCGATTCCCTTTTGCTTAATGCTGAAGGCAGTTTAGCACATGGAAATGGGAGAGTGAGCTGAAAAGAGAAGCGGTAGCGTCACGGTCTGGGGAGGTGTCTGCGGTGATGTCCTTGTTCGTTATTATTCAGGGAAACCTGAATGCTTAGAGATATAGGGATGAAGTTTTGAGACCCGTTGTGGAATCATTCATTCAGCAACAGTAACGTGGCATTGTCTTCAGCAAGACAAGGCGAGACCGCATACGACAAGGCTCACACAGAACTTTCTGAATAACGCGAACATTCACGTGTTAACCTGGTCGTTAATCACGTGTTAATCATGTCACAATGGCCTGCACATATTTTGAGGCAGGTTAATTGAAGTGAAGTTAGTTTTAGATGAAAATCCCGGCGTCACTGATGCATGTCAGCTGTGTTCAGTGGAAACAACGAAATAAATATTTGTTGCAATTGAAATAAGTATAGATGCTAACAAAATAATACAATAATAAATGTGTCATTCAAAAAGGTTATTAGATTAAATATATTATAATAAAGCTTGAACAATTTAAAACAGCATAAAGCCATAAAAATGTAAATTCAAAATGTCCTACTTGAGCAAAAAATATTCCGACACATTTGTTGAAGGTGAATGTGTTACGTCAGTTCGTAATTTATAAGTGTGTTTGTTATAAAGGCAGTTTACTGTACATTTATATCAACTTAACAGTTACACTCTTTACGTTGAAATAATGTCTAAGTTCCACACGGGATTAATCACAGGAGGGGGATTGAGACATACCAAACAAGGAGAACATCCAAAGGAGCAGGGCCCCATTTGAATTTGTTTGTCTGGCAAATGTGAGCGTTGTGTCGCCAAGAACCATGACTGCACCGATTAAGTTGACGTCACTTCCTCCATTTAGATTTCACTGTCGGCTTCGGACCGAGAATTATCTGCAACAACCAACAATATATATTCAGTCCAAACATCAACATTGTCTTGCTGTCATAAATCCCTAGGGGGCGGTATCCCAGTGGTTAAAGCGTTCGCTCGTCACGCCGAAGACCCAGGTTCGATTTCCGACATGGGTACAATGTGTGAAGCCCATTTATGGTGTCCCCCGCCGTGATATTGATGGAATATTGCTAAAAGCGGTTTAGAACCATACTCACTCAGTCAGTCAGTCATAAATCCCTAAAAGGATGTGACATTTTGTATGTACGTTGTTTTGCGCCACAGTCAGTAATCGTCCTTTAAAAGTCGAGTCTGGACCAGGCAAACCAACGGTTAATGTTATGAAAAACGTTCCACGTCGTTCGGCTACGATGACACATTAACTACCAAGTTTTTTTTGTTTGTTTGTTGATTAACCGCGCATCCAGTAATGTTCCACCTTTGTGACGGATGTCTGTAAATCACCGGGACCAGTTGGACCAGTCAACCCAGTGACTGACATCATAAGCATCGATCTACGAAATTGGGATACGATGCAATGCATGAACCATGCCACCGATTCTGAGCACCCGATGCCGTTAGTCGAATAATCAACCGAGCCAAATCATCCAACCCTTTCAGAGCCTCTTACGACAAACATATAAGGAGACTCATTATAACTCCTAGTCCGGTCACACTTCCGTGTATACTTACATGTTCCGTTCTTTGTTTTCATTGACATATCCGGTACGGCATACAGATCATCAACGTTGACAGCACCGCCAACAGCTGGCTGGTGTGTGGGTCTCTTGTCCGGGACGGCATACATGTCACCATCGTTGACAACACCACGTGCAGCCGACTGGTGCTTGGGTGTTTTGTCTGGTACAGCATACAGATCGACAACGTTGACAGCACTACGTACAGCCGACTGGTGCTTGGGTGTTTTGTCTGGTACAGCATACAGATCGACAACGTTGACAGCACTACGTACAGCCGACTGGTGCTTGGGTGTTTTGTCTGGTACAGGATACACATCGTCAACGTTGACAGCACCAACTACAGCAGGCTGGTGTACGGTTGTCGTGCCTGGTGCGGCAGTTAGAAATGGAATGATGGTGTTTATATTCCAACAACTAACAACATAATAATCACCCTAAATTCTTCCCGAAATTATTCAGCTTCATCGAGAAGGCAACACTCTAACTATAATCACCACTCAAATACAGTAGTCAGATATGTGAGGAAGTGAAGAACACCACAACTGTGAAGACTTACTAGTTAAGAGCTCTTTGTTGTCAGCTGCTTCATCTTGATTTCTGAAAAGGATTTTTGTTTTAAATTATTGATCGTTTCAACACTGGAATAAATTATTGCAAATAATAATAACCATAACTACATAGAAACCTACACGTAAATGTGATCATAGCAAAGTGGCATACAAAAGTTTCATGAATAATGTTTGTTTATCACATTTGAGATGATACTATTGATCCCATTGACTTGTGTAAAAGCTCCAATCAGAGATACTCGTTCACACATAAGCTGAGGCGCTGTTTCACTGTCACAGCTTGGAGAGAACAGAATCACACACAATATTGTGTAGGCCAATATAACCTTCAGGAAAGCTCACAACAAACTAAAGTTTAGTACATGTCTAGTATTCCATAATGTTTCGTGTTTCATTGTGAATATAACGCAAACTTTTCTGGACTAAATCGTTTGTGATTAAAGTTTTCCTATGATAAAGGAAATCGTTAAACCAATATTACATGGTTAGGTGTTTGTATTACACAGTGAATGGTTCCTGAATATAAAGAGTATTAACATTGTAAACAGTACGTTTTGTGAGATGCAAATAAAACTAACAAAACCATTTCCATAATTGTAAGAAATCTGTGCCGAAAGCAGAGTCCATTTTCCGTTCTGACTATATCTAAAGCATGTGTTTATGAATCTTACTCAATAAAAATGACACAAGGTTTAGATCGTATCCGTCACAATCCAATGCAAAGGCTAGAAAAGACATACAGTTGACCACATTGAAATAACATAACTCTATACTGAAGACGACCCATACGGGCGTTGCGTGACGGAATTCAAAGGTGACATACAGTGGAAGCACTTGACACTCTACTCACCTAACATAAGTTGGGTTTTCTGAAAGCTCTGCACCATTGTCTGCATCGCTGATAGCTGTGAACAGACATGACGACCAATACCATTGTTCACTGCATAATTTATTATATTTCTGTTGTTAATACTCTTGCGATATGTGTTGATGTATGCTCAAATAAGCGATTTTATGATAAGGATGGATAAGTAAATGAATTGACAGATGAGAGCTGTAGCTTTTATATTTGATGAAACTTTAATATTTACATCTGAAATGCTTAACGTTGTCCTGAATGTTCTGGTTTGATCTTCAAATCACTTTACATCAAATCGGAATCTGATACCAAATAATAGTAATATGTTCCGACTGCAGAAGTGCAGTTTACCTTGCGTGACGTTTACCGTTCTTCTCCTTCTAACAACACATACACAGATAACGATTATGATGAGGATCATGATGCCACCTCCTGCCCCAGCAGCAATGTACATGGTGTCATCTTGAACATAAAACATATACTGGGTGTCTGGGCCATGGTTAGTGATGTCAATGAAGTTGATGTTGATCTTTAAAAAATATAATGCATATGGTGTTATCTTGAGGAGAAAACAAATACTGGGCTTATATACTGGCCGTTAAATTGGTCCATGTATAAGTCTATGTAGGTTCAGGTATGAGTCCGTGTACATAAGCAATGAGTGTAAGTATTGAATGATCTGAGACAATAATAGCGAGAGGAGAGACCATGCTGTATACACGCAGATGGATTTGATGACATCAATCTATATGCTGGGGTTGTTAAGGATTTATGACCTGAAGTTTTTAACTTGATAATGTTTCACCACAAATGACTTAGGTTGATTTGGGAAGTTTTCTTTTCGAAAAGGGACTGTGATTTTTTATGTATGTATATTACAGATTAGAGCTACCTGTTCTGTTTCAATACTGTACAAAACCTAGGTTTTAAGCATGGTATGCAGAGACGGAGATTACATGTAACTACTAGATTCTGGAGTTGTCTGTATGTCCGTATCCGTTGATTGTGATGATGGCCGAATAACACTAGAATCAAGTGAATCCAATTTGTCCCGAGTACTCGAAGGCGTGAAACAGCACGTCGTCAGTAATGGGTTTATGATCAATGTTTTTTTCCATGCTATTTGTCTGGAGGTGAGAACATTATATTTTACTTTGTTGTTCATAATCGTTCATTCATTCACAGTAACTAAGCTAAGACAGTATCCTATTCGAGTAAACTGCAGCCATGAAATATCGTGTAAAACCGCAATATCAAGAGCTTTGATACACCGAAATTTATCACAATACCGTCTGTTCAAATACATGCCGTTCAATGCAAAAAGGGGGTATGTCTTGGATCATGGGTCCGTATACGGTTGTGTTATACATTCCTGACTGTTTCTAAATATCGTACACATCGTAGCCAAAGGTAATTTTGACGACTAATACATAACTACCTTGATTTTCGTTGCTCAGGGGAGTAGTTATCTTGATAGTTGTAAGTTTTGCCAACGTTGTTGCTGAATCAGTCAGTTGTGATCTTGTGTTATTGGTAGTCACTGCAAAGCCTGCCGACACAAATAATAAAAACAAATAATTATGAAATTTGCTAGCCCATCATAGAGGACATAGAATTACACAATACTATTGTTTGAAAAATCTTTTAGATGAGCCAACATCAGTTATGCTCAGTGTGATTGTGAAACGACGTTCGAACATTTTACATATAAAAGTACAAACTATAATATACAGAGGATTATTAAAACTATCTGATATTGTATCTGACCTACGATTGTTAAGATGATTTTACCAGCATTAATGTGAATGGCATAACAGGTCTCATTGTTTCTCTAAATGTAATATACAAAACTACCTAGAGTACCTTGAATATCTGCATACATAAATAATATAAATTAATTGTGGCATTTACCAGCTCAATATCGACGCTCTAGAAGAATAAATTTTATTTTATCGCCTCTGTGGTCAGATGGTTGGAGCGTCTATCTGACACGATGTGTGAGATCAAAAGAACACGTAGATGTAAGTAAAGGAATGTGAGCTCATGGCCAAAAAAAGATCATACCTGAAGTAAGGTTGTTACTGACTCTATTGCGTTGATCCTCACACCGCCACACAGTCCCATCGTGGAGGTAGTGAGTTGTCGTTAGTGTCATGTTGTGTTGGGTGTTACCACAGCTTACACTGACATCCGTTGAAGTGTATAGGTCGTAACGATATGCATGAGTATCGCCTGGGCTGTTGGGTGGGTGTTTTTGACAGACATTCCCTGCAAACACTGACGTGAGAACTCGTACGTCATCCATGTACCATTTTGTAAACTCTATGTTGAAAGTTGTGTTAGCATCGGTGCAGACTAAAGTGACATCATCGCCTGACTTGAACTGAGTGAGTTCCAGAGGGAAACCACCTGCAACATTCCAACATACAACCAGCATGAGAAGCAATCAGAACACAAACATGCAGTGACATTCTTTGTCGTTCTTCGTGTACTTACAATGCCGACCCAGCTGTAACATGCAAATACGAAATATAACGGATATAAACTGCTACAATCACTATTAAATTACATCAATGAAATCCAAATGGTTCAACCTTTCGCATTATTTAATATTCAAACCTACTGTTATGTGTGTACGCAATCCATCCTATGCACAGCAGAGTAATCAGGCGAATCCCGATGTCCATGTTTCTCCTAAATCAAACATCCTCTCATCAACATTTTTTAAGGTTTTGTTGAAATAACCCGACGTAAGTCACAACACATTTTAAACACACTGTGCAACATGAAGCATTCTTCGTAAGCAAACATGAGTGCTCCACTATATGTGCATTACATCCTTATAACGGAGGAAACAGTCCAACAATCAGCATCCACTCGCTTTTAGCTGTTTTTTTCGATTTAGGCATTGATAAATACATACCACTCATATTTGCATATTTGGATGTCAAGGACAAAATTACGTTCCGATGTGTTGGTGTTTGCAAAAACTAAATCCGACTCGGGAATGAGTACATTTGCTCTTGCATATAATGCACTCAGATAAAACTTAACATCATATAAAATATACTTGTTGAAATATGGTCACATCACAGAGAGAAAAAAAATAATTGTGTTGAGCTTGAAATTACGTTCAGATTGTGCAAACAGATCTGACACATTCGGGATTAATTAACCAGATTTCCTCATGGCAGTTTGCCGAGATCTGCGATAAACAGACAACAATCAGCTAATAGTAATAATAGTACTGTGACACACAACATGGTAATAAATCATTGGCTTCAGAATAAGAAGTATGGACAGGGCCTGGCCGTGTGATACCAAAAGACGTTAAACGGGCATTTGCTGTAGAAACTACCGCACTCTGAGTGGGCGGAACTTTTATGAGTGATCTGACAGGTCAATATGACGTCATGCTAACATACAAACTTCATTGGTTAACGAGTAAACGGGTAACGTCATGTAAACACCCACCCAAGTGGGCCGTTTCACAACCAAGATATAAGTTTTAATGGAAATAAATATCCATCAAACGATTCCAACACTTTTCAACAAACGCGTAACGTTTGGTTTCAAAACCTACCTGCTATGTCGTCTTCAAATCTTCATAAAATGATGCTGTGGAATGTCCACGATTTATGTTTTTATTCCAGTCCAACACAAAACTTAGTCCTGCGCTATTCTCTGGACGAGAACGAAATACGTTTGTCGTGATGAATAAGAGTAGTTTTGTTGAACAAAACACCATATTATGTATCACGGCACCAAATGTAATCCTGTGGTGTACGGCATATTTGCAGTTTATGAATAGCATTTCACACAATACACACGGTAATCTGTGATTCCAACAGTGTTTTTTTCGTTGTGTTCGTCTTGGCTTCATCTGGAATCAGGATGGCAACGATCGGGAAAATCCCTGGTAATGGTACAAAATATGTTCAAGTGATGAAAGTAGTTATTTGTCGTTTCCATCACATGTTTTCATTGCCCAGTAGCAATGTGTTTTGGCAAAGTCACACTTGACCGAGGGCTCCTCATGGCGAAATCACTCTATCCGTGAAACTTTGCGGGTCCCCGTGACCCAGATTCCCTGTTGATTGGCAGCGCAATTGTCATTTGCATAAGGCTATCCATATGTTGTGTATGAGTTTCTCCTCTCAAACCTCAACTAACCAGAGAGCGGGCTGACAAAAAAAATAATATTTTTTATAAAAAAAATGTCTTTCAATATTTGTGTAAGTTATTTTATGACATTTAGAAAAAGTTAATTGGTGCTACACTTACTGGTACTAGAATCTAGTCGATAAATTATTTTATGATGTAGATTGATTCGCTTTGCTTCGGAAGCGATTTTGAAATAAACAACTTAAGAAAGATAAAGTTTTTTTTATGACGGTTCAATGGTAGATCTAGTAGTATTTATTTAACTAGATCGGTGCACATTTTCCACAGCCGCAGGATAAATTGAGACATGAAACCTTTATTTTATTTCACGTCGGAATCGAGATTAAGAACTCGGACAGCATCACATACTTCGAAACGATGTTCAGATACATACATGTTCACACTAATTCTGCCATTTGCGTGTCCTTGGATTTCAACATTATTTTCATGAAGATTATTCAGGTCGCTGGCTACACGAATCTTCCTCTCTTGTAACTACTTCGGAATAAACACATATTTTGTTTCGAAGCTCAAAGCAACAATGTTGTTCTGAGATGCATTTTTTTCTCTCCATCCATGATGAGCATCTGTCATAATGTCAATGCCTCGACAATGTTCCTGGTCAATTGATTTCAACAATGTAATAAACACGGCGTCATCACAAGATTCCGCAGAAATATCCACCCACGTGATAATAGTTATGACCACGGGATGAAGTTTTAAATTAATTTCCATTTTTAGGATAAAAAATGTGTTCGTGAATACTTTTATTTAAAAACACCATGTACACAGCCTCTTTGGATTGCACTGCGGATTCCTTCTAATTACTATCGAAAACTTTTTGTTTGCCCTATTCTGAGCAAGCGATTTCCAAGCAACCACGCCCCCTGAGCGCATACAAGTTGGATTGATGCTTACAACTTCCAAGAACTTTGCAAGTTCGCTTGTCTTCAATATGAGCAACAAAACAGTTACATGTGACGCTTAATTTGACGCAGAATTGTTCGAGATTATCAGGGGAGCCTTGGTCATTTCGATTATGACATTGGTGACTTTGCAAGTGCAACAGTAACTTTGACAAATTCAGTTCCGAGTCTTGGGATTAGTGAATCAGTGTCACAGACAGATTTCATTGTGGAACCAGATGAAGGCGAATATGTCTGTTCACATTGCTTTTGACACAGCACGGGCAATCGCAGTGAGGGAATGGTGTGGCCACCATGTTGCAGTAAATTGTCGATTCGAAAACAGTACTACAAATACACACGGAATGAGCTAAATAGACTAAGTGTTTGGATATATCCTAGATACTCGGACTTGAAGAAACGGATATTAAACGTAGCAGCAGATGAATGAATTAGTGGACATAATGGGAAGTGATTCCAGATTGTAATTTAAAACTTGTGCGCGAAATGTATCCAAATCCACCGAACAAAAAGTACATGTGACATATGTGGATCAAATGATCAAACTAAGTTTTGTGTGTGAAAATGTTGTGAAAGAAAAGGAAATCCATCGTTAAAGTTGTCTTAGAATATATGCATTAGAGTTTTGGTTTATCGTCAGTAGAATGTTATCTAGACAGGCCTAATGTAGGTCAAAGTATCAAGTATATTTCGTTACTTATTTATCAGTTGCTTATGTGCATTATGTTGATACACGTGACATATTCATATACTGTAGTCGAGCGGAGAAATATTGGCGCCGCTTCAGGTGCTTCAAATTAGGCCTCTTCCTAAAACTAGTTGAAGAATATGTGTAATAGTTTAAGTTTCATAGATATAATATGATTATAGTGTGGTATAGATCTGTCTATAACATGTAACTGTAATTAACGGACTGAACTGAAAGAATCTTGTCGCTAATACTTATGTAACTAACGTGAATTTCGTAGTTATGTATCGTTATTGTTACATTAACAGAAACTGCTGTTCTGCCGTAAATATATATACAACAATAAGACACTTTGACCACAAATGCATCGAATGTGACCATGTGCTTTGCTATTTAAACCACAACCCTTGATAAGCTCCGCCCACTGTACTTGATGCAGACGCCAAACACGACCGATTCGATTTTTTAATGATAAAACTATAGAAAATGTATTGACTTGTATATAGATATGGAGCCATTTGTCGTACCCAATGTTTGCCATTCAAGTTTGACGGTCAATGGTGATTTTGTTACCGTTTGGTTTACAAAAAGCTTATCTCGACACTCGGTTGTGTTCACCTTGTCAGTCATTGTTCGAAACTAAAACCGCCACCTTGCGGGCTATTTATAGTCAGGGTTGGGCTCTAACAGTGTACTTGTTGTGATCCTGCTCGGCGTATAGTTACCGAAAACAGTGGCACGATATCTCGGTTGCTCTGGCACTATAACTGCAACATATGTTCTGACAAGAACTAACAGCCACACACGTCAGCTAAATCCGGGATGTAATCTTGAAAGCGATGTTAAACTCCATACATAAACAAAGAATAATTAAAACTTGACCGTGTGTTTTTCCAGATCGTAAGTATATATAATGTGGTGGTGAAAATGGTTATCTAGTTATATTATATTGCAATGTTTGATAGTAAATGTTCTAATAACGAGTTAATTGCAAACAAAGACATTAAGCTGTGAACTTTGTAAGCCTTTATTATCAACGAAAGAGAACATTAGGAATTGAATAGAAACTCCAACAATTCCAAACCAGTGCACACAAGCCTATTGCAGAGACTTGATACGTTTATTAAATAATGCTCTTTCAGGATATTCAGTCATTCACTCCTGATAAGAGGCATTCACATGTACATAACATATAACGTGGGTAACGTTTGTGTAACAAAGGATTTCAAAGGGAGAACTTACAAATATGTTAGAGGTGATACTTACACGTAATATACAATGCAAGTGATAGTAAATCCCAGTTAAAATGCATAGGACATGTGTATGCTCTATGCAGACACTAATGGAGAGGAGAATGTTTTTTGAGAAATTTTAAAACGTCAACACCAAATAATCAGTCTCGATCATCTGCCGAAACAAAGTCCTTTGGTGCAAACCCAAAAGTACTGATGACACAGGTATGGATGGATAACTGAAATTCAGCGACAACTCCGGGTGTTCGCGAAAAGGTATACAAGTCCAGCCTTTACCAGCAGTACCTGTCACTCACACTGTAAAAAAAGTAAGCATTTGTTTGTTGTTATACCCACAAATACTTTTGCTTAGCGACGATATTGAAGAGATTTCTTTCGAAAATAATGGTGTCCATGCCCAAAAAACAAACGACGTGATGTCATTATGCCTGTAGTCAAATATACTGGCAGAAAATGCCACAAACGAACTTGCTTGTCTAAACACTGTGGATTGACACTACTATGTTCTCATGGGTGGGTTTTCGTAGTCAGCATTTTTGGATACGGTGTTGTAGTAAACATCGTTTGTGTGTATGTTGGACTGTCTGGAAGTTTCTTTCTTGATCTCTGAGTAACAGGGATCTGTATTGCCATTGTGAGCCAAAGTGTCGTACTGAGGTGTGTCAACATCAGCCAGTGATACATCTGCACAAACACAAATACAATTTAGAACTTAAGAATCAAGCATTGGTGACATAAGGCATATTTTACATTACACACACGGGTGCAAGCTGCATCAATACATTTGATCTGTGATACAAGGCCACAAGACATCAATCGGTTTTTTTTCGTTTGTATTGAGATATATGTTAGATATACTCAATAGAAACTACTGTTAGCAGCGGAACAAAATACTACGTTGTTGCTCGATTATAAAACAATAAATTCACATCCAATCAGCACTGATCGTATAAATGGCGTTACAGTCAGCTCCGGCTGTATGCAATATCGGCTTATGAATTGGAAACAAAAGGTATTTCTTTTTGGTAAAACTCGACGTGCGGTCCTGTCATCTAGGGCGCCGCAATTCGTTGTACAATGTTGCTTCTCATGGGACGCAAAAAAACCTACGAATACCGCCTCGCATTAATACAACTGGAATACTGTGCAAAGCTGCATTGTACCCAACTCACTCACGCACTATAATTAAAACATGAGAAAATTATTATCGAGCAAAGGACAACAATAGGAACTGCCAATCGAAGTAACTATAAATAAATATAAAAAAATCATATTGAGTCAATTTTAGAATGAGTTCACCTTGTGTAGCTTTTCCAATTTCTTTTCGCCTCCTCCTCAAAAAACATACACAGAGAACACTTATGATGAGGATCACGACGCCACCTCCCGCCATAACAATGATGATTATGGCGTTATTAACAACTTGAAAAAGAAAAATAAGAAAACAAATACTGGGCTGATATACCGTCTCTGGCAAATGTATGAGTTGTACTGTGCATAGAGGTTGTTAGTATAAGTATTGAATAATATAATATTAACAAACACATTGATAAGCAGCGAAACTAATGGGCTTTACACCTTACTCGTTAGTAATGGGTGTCTGTTCCATGATTTATTATTTAGCAGTGATATATTTGTGTAGGTCTTGTATAGTGTAATATTACATACTTCCATACAGCAGGGTTGACCTGTTATAAATTCTGCAATATCAAGAGCCATAACATACTAAAATATATCACCATGATGTTTCTTTGAATAAATGCTGGGCCGGTGGGGTAGCTTAGTGGTTAAAGCGGTCGCTCGTCACGCCAAAGAACAGGGTTCGATTTCTCACTTGGATAAAATGTGTGAAACCCATTTCTGGTGTCCCCAACCGTGATATTGCTGCAACATTGCTAAAAGCGACGTAAAACAATAGTCACTCACTCACTCACTCAAATAAACGAGGCTCAATGCATATTGATATTATGTCCTAGATCATGTGTCTGTAAAAGTTGTCATACTGATGTATTACTTCCTAATTCTTTTGATCTCCCGTTTAGAAAACTGCACTGAGCAGGATCGCAGTTTCAGAAAACCACAAATGTCGAGTGGCCTGAACAAACTTCATCTATGGCGTCTTTTCCAGTGTGACGCTATTCCGACCTTCAGCATCAAAAGGATTAAATGACTTCAACAATGCCATCAGAAGGACGGAAACAATGTCTTTTGCACTAGTACACATGCATTTTTCATGAACTCGGTCTTTTCTAACCCTATGGGTAATCATAGTTGTATTATATATGTTCCAGACTTTTCCTAAAACTAATATACATTGTACTGCCAAACCTTTAGCTTAATAAGTATACAAGTACATGACTTATGTCGGCATAAGTTTAAATATGATAACTGGTGTTAATACAAAGTCTCTCTAAATATGATATACACTGTATGCAAACGTTAGTTTAGTTAGTTGGTGCACAACTACCATGAATAGCTCTGTCTGTGGCGATCGTTGTTGCTGATGCAGTCAGTGGTGGAGTTGACTCATACGCAGTCCCTAGAATGTCTGCAGACACAAATAATATAAGTTAATTATGACATTTACTGGCTCAATATCTAACACACAATAACAATGTGGTCTAATGGTTGGATGTTCGATCTCCGGCCGTGTAATTCTAAAAAATGTGAAAAGATGGTACTTGTTGTTGCCCTGCCCGGTGCACTGAGTCAAGGGAATACAACAAGGACTTGTCGCTTCCGAGCGTAATGTGTCTGAGTGGGGTAATCATGTTAAAGTAGTGCATGATATCTTTGTGGGCTAGCACTATGAAACCTGCATTAGTCTGGGCTAGTATATTTGCAAGCACACACCCACATACGCACGCGCACGCACACACACACACACACACACACACACACACACACACACACACACACACACACACACACACACACACACACACACACACACACACACACACACACATATGCATGTCGCTGTGTAAGTGCAATAAACATGCAAGGGACGTTAAATCCCATTTCACATCACTTCTAAAAGTATTAATGTATCTTTGGGTGTCCGTGTTGTAAATATAGTTATTGATCATGCATACCGACTGAGGTATATCTGCATTGATACATGTACAGTGTGTCACAACATGATGCGTGAGATTACAAGGACATGTAAATGTAAATAAAAGAATATATGCGCACGAAATGAAACAGATAGATCATACCTGAAGTAAGGTTGTTACTGACTCTCTTGCGTTGATCCTCACACCGCCACACAGTCCCAGCATGGAGGTATTGAGTTGTAGTTAGTGTCATGTTGTGTTGGAGGTAACCACAGCTTACACTGACATCCGTTGATATGTATAGGTCGTAACGATATGCATAAGTATCGCCTGTGCTGGTAGGTGGGTGTTTTAGACATACATTCCCTGCAGACACTGACATGAGAACTCGTACGTCATCCATGTACCATTGTGTAAACTCAATCTTGATAGTGGTGTTAGTTGCGGTGCAGACTAAGGTGACATCATCGCCTGACTGGAACTGAGTGAGTTCTAGAGGGAAACCACCTGCAACATTCCAACATACATTAGAATAAATCAGGCAAACAGGTAGAGATTTTCGTACTTTGTCTTTCTTCAACACCAGTCATGTTGGAATTCCATCAGCGTACACAAAGAAACGTGGTGAGGGAGTACTTTTAAATACTGTGATTGCTATTTACACTTTATACACCATTGCACAATATATATATGTACATAGATAATTCAATACTTTGTATAATGACAAAGGGAAACCTACGTGTGTCAACAATCCGTCCTATCCACAACAGAGTAGTCAGGTATGTGAGAAATCCCATGTTACCGGCACATCGAATACACTCTCGTGAATGTCCCTTGAAGGCTGCTAAAATACTGTAAAACCAGTCACTACACACCATGCCCTACACCGAGCCGCATACAACGTGGCTGTGCAGTCACCAACCACTCTAAGGGAACTTTTATTTCCTGGTTTAGATAGAGTAGGAATCAAGTTTTTTTGTTTTTTTATGACCATGGAAAAGTTTTGTCGCTTTTATTTAGATAACGATGAATACCTACCCGTTATTGTGGATAGAATGGAACGGGTCGCTATTCAGAGTTTGATAGTAGGCGTGTTCACAAATTATTAAGAGCAGAATGCAACTGACCTGCCACAGTACACTTGCCGTATAATTATAACATATATTTGGTTTGCCAAGAAATAATTACATGCAATGAAATTTTGCAGAAACTATGTTCAGATAGTCGCGCGTAAAGTTTGGTGGTATTGATACTTGTTAATTTAAGTTTTACTGTCGGATCTTGACAGTGGCAGTTCTCACAAAGCAGCCTCGGGTAACCTGCCGATATGTTTGATATGTATGCGACGCAGGCTACAATAAGTTCGTTATAACAAACTATTGAAACTGCCCAAGCAAAATAAAGCTATGATCGCCTGATAGAGCTACACTAGCCAAATAACGATATGATAGCCACATAATTCATGGAAGGTAAATGGACATGAGTGTTTGATCTGTTATTTCTAGCTTCGTAAGGGCTATTGAATGTAACTTTATGTAACTGTTTCTTTATTCAAAATAAAGCTTTTACTTCTCTTTTGCCAGTTTCCTTCATCAATCAAAAGCTAATGTATCTGGTATTTTTTAATTCCATTTCTCTAAGAGTAAATTTATACTGAATTCTCCTCCGTGATACGGGCGGACTTGGATGCAAGGGGAATACTTTTGTTCTATCATAGCAACCATAGGGGAACACTTTTCAGTAATACTTGCACATGTGGGGCTTGTATTTACAGACCGCCGTCATATAGCTGGAATATTGCTGAGTGTGGTGTTAAACAACAAACGGACAGACATGATTTGGTATATGATGTAAAATGTCCATCGTTCAACTTATACGTCTCCTGGGTTCTACGTGTCAACGAATAACACTTGCATCACGTGTATGTATATGAATAACATTGCTGCCCCAGGGTTCCATAGAGACAAACGGATATTCAAAAAAATATAATGTACCTAAACAATTGTCTCTTTGCGAACGGATTCTCTCCTGTTACCGTATTGATTGTATCAACTGCATATCCATTAAGCATAGTCGGGCTAACGTGACTGAGAAGACAAACTAAACAATATGTGACCGATTGTTTCATGATACAGAAGGCAATAATGCCAACGTTCAAATATTAGTCCGACAGATCAGTTGTTAATAACATGATCCATGATCCACTCAACCAGGTAACGCACTGCATAACAGGTGTCCCTTATTGTGGTGTTGGGCTCTGATCTACCCTGGACATTAGGAATGACACAATCGGTGAATCAGTAAATGTATGCATGTACGTCACATGAGGTCTAAGCTGGCGACGATAAGAATCGTGTTGTTTTATAACCTGTCAGTAAAACATCCCCAGCACCATTAAGACGACCCAGATGGGTATCATGGACACTTACATCACCCCCTGGATGTTCTTGAGAGAGTGAGTGAGCTGCATTTACGCCATCACTAGATGGTATGTATGTATCTTGGTGTGGAAGGGGCGGAGGAGTAGCCTAAAGGTTAAAGCGTTCGCTCGTCCCGAACACGGGTTCGATTCCCTTCACGGGAAGAATGTGTAAAGCGCTCGTGTCCCCGCCGTGATGTTGCTGGAATATTGCAAAAAGCGGCGTAAAACAATATTCACTTACTCACATGATCTGGTGCTTCACGCCTCAGTGAGCAATACTTTAACTATATCGCTGTGGCTTGTAAACAATTGTGTCAGCACTAGACAATCCAGTAATTGATTCTACTTGCGACGTGTCACACCTCCAGGGTGTCAATCAACCAAGCCACCGAGCCTCCCCGACCGATACATTGTGTCGCTTCTTACGACATGCATAGGTGGTAAGAAGTGATTGGTGCCGGTAGTCAGTCTCCGTGACTCAGCCGATTGCGTGTCATCGTACCCGATGGCGTGGGACTCAAAACATCAGCCTCTCAACGCGTTTCAGAGGCCGCCGCGAAAAAACACGAATAATACTGAATGTGAGTGAGTGAGTTGGGTTTAAGGCCGCTATTAACAGTATTCCAGTTATATCACGGCGTGTCAGCTTAACGTAGAAGGAAAGCCCGAAGTAATGCAGGTCTCAGACGTTTACCACTTCGGTGAAACCCACGAGCACGGGTATTGCTGACAAACCTAGAAACATAATCGGTTCGAACCGGGATTCGAACCCACAATCATAGGTTTCTGGCGTGCCCAAGGGCCACAATTCTGCACAGCGAATCGCGGCGCCTTTGACGACTGGGCCACCCGTGCCCCCCAATACTGAATGTGCATTAAACAGCACGAATTAACTGCCTTTGATTTCCCAAATCAGTTCTACTTGAAGTACCGAGACACAATTCATTGTATATTTGTATACACATTTGTAGATAGCGATAATGTACATGTGACCTTATTCAGTTACTGCGATAGCATTCATCGGAACACGTTATTTTGACAGCTTCCGCGTAGCAATGTGTGTACAACAAGTGCTTTCTATCAATGCGTCAGCTAGTCTGTGATTCGACCATTTCACGTGATGTAGGAAGTTTGTCTAACTGATTTATCGATTACATCACAGACATGTAGTGGTGTAATGGTGTAGGCATGTACTCTGGTGTAGGTCAGTATGGTAGCGAAGGCAAATGGCGGAAGGAAAGTAATCTCTTTATTGTCATTGTACTTTTATTTCGAATACTACCGTACACATATACACCTCACTCGGTGTTCCGGTCTATATTATATGTCCTGTTCCAGTCGATAAAGATCTTGTTCCGGTCTACACACTATCTTTTGTTTCCGACTGTACACTATCACTTGCTTAATTGATAACGTTGTTAGAACCTACACCGAAACGTCGCTCCTAATTGTAATAAAGAAGTTGTTCATCCATATATGTTATCCTTACTTTGTACTCCAACGTCTAAATGCCTTTCAGAGAACTTACACGCAATAAGCAATTATATGTCACGTTCTGTTTCAATCTACACATCGTGTTCTTTTCTCGTCTACATATCATCTTGATTGTGTCCACTGCAGTTGTATTCAAACAGTTGAATTATACACCATGTCATTTTCCCATTTAAGAACATTTTGTAACTGATTTGTCCACATCAGTCATGTTGTAACTGTTGGCTTATTAATGAGCTGATTATATTAACTCACTGACTGTGTGTGTGTGTGTGTGTGTGAGTGTGTGCTTGTGTGTGTTTGTGTGAGTGTGTTTGAGTGTGTGTGTTTGTGCTTGTGTGTGTTTGTGTGTTTATGTGCGTGTGTGTCACTTATTTGAAAAGTTTGATAATCTCTTGGTTTAGTTTGATAACTCACGGTATGACCTTTGACCTTCACCTTCACCTCCCCCTTGTGTCTTATGATGTTTTTACTTCCTGTGAGAGATGGTCAGCCACATCAACAAAGAAATATTGTCTCATCACGCAAACAGTTTTCAATCAAGTGTTGTCTACTTCAGGAATAACCCGTTAATGTCAAAGCGAGGGGACACCAGAAATATACATCAAGCATTGTACCCATGTTGGAATCCTGACACATATGCCTCCCAACAAACAAGTATCCAAGTCAACAACAAATATATCTCCAGCAATCAGGACGCACTATGATCTATTTATAGTGAAGACAAGACAACGTACAGCTGATACAGTGATATGGTGATATACAGTGAACATATGATATATTGGTGTTGCGTTAACGCACTGATAACAACACATGTGGCGGTATCAATATCGACATACACAGCAAAACATTATTGAGTCCGGGTCAAGTGTTTCTTCCTGAAAACTCTTAAAAACAGAAGCTGATTTAAGTGATCAGCAAGTTCTTAACAAAATAAGTGATTACATTAAGTACAAGTACACATGGTTGTATAAAAATTCAAGTAGAAGACTAAATAACAAAAAGTTCAAGTACATATACAACAAGATAAAAAAGTGAACAAAACATGTTTCGAATAAAAGTCTTTGAATGTAAAAAGTGTTTCCTTGACATAAATTCCATTCACCGTGCAACTTACTCATCATTATGTTTAATGATTTGTAGCATGGTGGAACTATGTATTTTCAAGATGACAAAATAACTGCAAAATGTTCTCTGGCTGAGGTCGGTTATGAGATTCAATAGTTCATTAATGTTATTACGTGCCTCATGTGGTGGCAAAGCTCAAAGTGATGCTTGTCTGTTTGATAGTGATTCATAAGCACATGCTCATGGTATAGTCGTGAATCGTTCAATAGACTCTGTTTTATGCAGATATTTCCATTGGATATGGAAAGGGTTTTGTCGCGTTATTTAATTAGAACACGGGTCTGGAGGTGACAAACAAAAGACCACAAAACAGTGCGAATTTGGAATTCGAACTCATATTATTTGGACTGACTCAACTATGCACGGCGCCATGAACGACTGGGTCATCCTCGCTTCCGTATCTATAAGTAATACACTGGTACAAAATATCATACTGGGAGAAAATGGAGGCAACACTGACTACTCGGTTTATTTTATCTACTAAAAGTTTTTCAGAACCTCTACAGTGAAGGATTCGTTCAATAACTCACATCGTTCCATATAATCCATGACACGCAGAAAGTCGTCCTGCTAATCGTGCGTGATCTCGTAACCCACGAACGCATAAACATCACATTACACATGACTCACTTACTATCGAGTATGTTGTAAACTTCCATTGAGAGAAACAGATAATCCAACACAGACTCGCAGATAAATTTTCAAAATAAATGTTCTTATTGCATAATATCCACTGTGCCTATCTTTATGGCCATTATCTTGAATCAAGGATCAACATTTGATCCCAGGACAGATCTCACAAAGTCTGACTTTTTGTTAGGGTTGATGTCGGACATACGTCTCCCCTTGTTAGCCTTCTCATTTTTCCTCAACTCTTGAACCTGCGGCCTCTTCCTTGTAACGATGTACCTCCGTGCAACCCGTGCGATTCTGTTGCGGCAGACAACCAGGACAAAGATGATGATGAGCACCACGAGCAATGCTGCCACTAGACCTATGATAAGGTAAACGGGGACAGATGCTTGACTGACAGCAGGAGTATTTGACTTGGTAAAGGTGGTGAAGGCAGTCAGGGTGGTGGTTGAGGTGGGTGACGTGGTTGAGGTAGTTGAGGAGGTAATGGAGATGGTGGAGTTGGCGGATTTCACTAAAAGATGACAAAAGGACAATTAATCGTACACTTATATATAACACTTCGAAACCCCAGAGAAACCAAAATCCAAAGTATGACTTCATGGCCATTGCTGATGACCATTCCAATTTGGTCTGCCCTTGCTTTAATGGCTTATTGATGATAGTTTACACCTATATATGGAGTCAGTTTTGAAATAAATATATGTTGTACAACATGTTTGATTACAAATGAATGGATCTTACAACTGGATCACACACATGTATCATAAAGCAATCTGTTTTTCATAAATCTCAGCACAAATTACACGTACCTGTAGATGTCGATGTAGTTCCTGCAAGGATGAAAGCAACAAAATGAAAAATCTCATTGTAAGAAGAGCCTATTTCCATTAGATTCCCCTTATACCAGACACATATGTTCAGTGATATCAGAATTTATTAATGCCAAGAACATGTAAATCTGTACTGATATAATACGATAGGTATTGTTTTAATTGACGTTCGACTTGATAATCAAAAGAATAACAGAAGTAGTGTGGGACAACAAAATATACAAACACGTAAGCGTTGACATTGATTGTTTTGCAGTTGATGTCGCGCCAAGTGCAAAGGTGAGTGAGTGAGTATGGTTTTACGCAGCTTTAGCAATATCCCAGCAATATCACGGCGGGGGACACCAGGAATGGGCTTCACACATTGTGTGGAAAGGTGAAAACACCTATGATAAATACTTAATGTAACACTGGATGATATTCCATAAAATTGTCCAAAAGTAACAAGCTTATTGTAGACAAATACATTGATACTGAACAGGAAATTAAATCAATGATATATGTTTCAAATACTTTTCACAATGTGCCTCATCACCACACTTCTCGTCTTGAAAAAAATGTATCTGCATAAAATATAAAATAATTAAATTGATTTATATTTGACAGACAACCCTTCTTCCCTTCTAGAGGGTATATGTGACAAATATGTACCTTACTGGATCAAAAGCTCACAATGATTCCTGCATCATAGCAGTCAAAGGTGAGAGTTTCTATGTGTGCGCAAATACATTGTTTCAGCTAAATAGCAAAGATCACACAATGAGGAATAGGTTATTCTATTTACATGCATTGAAGCTACTCAATATGTGCGTGTGCGTGTTCGTATAAAATTATTAAGGCATATCCATTCAATTAAATAATGACATTTTACATGTGCATTTGGGCACAATACTTATGAATAATCCTGATATCGCGTGGAGACTGTTGACGAGTTTGGACAGGCACAGATTAGTTAGAAATTTAGAGGATACGTGTTGATATGTTTGTCAACTTATAACCTGAAATAATTCTAATTTATTCTATAGGCATCTGTACATAATCGTGATCCAACGGGAACTTATCAGTGAAAGTGTTCCGTGCGTGATGTCCCGGTTATTGTTATGGGGCGGCGTGGGAGCCCAGTGGTGCAGGTGTAAGATCGTCACACCAGATCAAGGTTTGGTGATGCAGATTGGTACAATATTTGAATCGCCCTCAGGAATAAAGTAGACAGAGGCGCAAAAGGCTACTCATCCAATGTTACTGTGCAATGCACTAATGTTATTAGTGACTCTTTTCTACTGTTTTAGCTTATAGTTTAAGGTGATTCTAAATGGTGCTTTGGGCCTGTAAACATAATCATTTAAACTAATGCACCATGACCAGTCATTGTGAAGCTTTATCAATACATGTACAACCGTCATTATACCAATATGCGCATACGCTTTCATGCATACTTCTGGATCTACACGGGAACCTTGTGGCGACAATCATTTTAACAAAAAAGTGTTAGTATATGACACTATTCATCATCTAATTAAGGGACCCTGAAAAATCGAGACACAGAATAAAGATATAATTTCAGTATCCATAACAAGTGCCACGTATTCACAATATGTCACGATTCGTTTGAATATACGCCCCGGATGTGGATAGTTGTTTGGGAAGAAAGCTCTGTCTAACGTTCCTTGGTGTTTGCTAACACAGCCTACATATAACCTGTGACATTTGGCAGGGAAATATAAGCGAGATATCACAAATTGTACATTTACAACAAACTGGTTGAAATACTAACATTAATCATTGAAATCAAAATTTAGATCAGTATTACGATACACTGTGTAGTATTAAGATACTAGGCTGCAGACCACCACCATCAATAGCCAAACCACACTACTGGGGACCATGGGGACTTACAGTACTTCAACAAGACTTGAATCAACAACTTAGCTGATGCTTGTTGTGGGTAATTTTAAAAACATTCTTAAGATAACAACACGCGAAATTTGCGTGATAAATGGTACATACCTTGACAAGATTTACGTGACATTGTCATGGACAATAACATTACATCCCTGAATAACATTGCATCAAGCATCTCTCTAAAATATGATCATACCAAATGAATTCATTACTGAATTACATGTATTTCAAGTATTTCAAAATCTGACCTCCACGAGAGCGATATAACGATCCTGTGACATTGGAAAAAGAATCCCTTGCAAAAACACACTTGTTGAACTGCTTGTTTTATATGAGGTCCCGAATGTAAGCTATAATTCAGGGCATATAATCATTATATGGAATAACTGGTGGGAATATTGATGAAGCCCTGTTTAGCTGCAGTGTCAGCCTATGTGTTAAACAACATACCAACATGGGTGGGTCATCAGGAAGTATGAATATTTGGCCAGGAAGTAATCAATATCATAATAATTCAATAAAATACCAGTGCACACTATAATAGTGTGAGTTCTTGTGTAACAGTACTGTCATTTCAATATTAGACGATCAAGACTGATAAATGACTGGCGAGTGTATTTGAATCCACTAAAGCAAACTATTGTATGAAAAATAGTGAGTGTTGTTTGAATGCGTGGAATCATGGGTCATATGTTTTGACTTTAGTTCAGACGTTGTTTTTTTTCACGAACATTTCACAGGCCTTAATGTTTCAAAATGTCCACTCATCTTAATCTTACGACAACATTGTACAATAGATTTGAAACTGTCTGGAGGAAATAGTAACTTGTACCACGATATAAATAGACTTGTTAAAACAGTTCTAAAACTGGTGATGCGGACTCTCACGTAGTCACATAGGCACCGAGAACCTTACAGAAAGTAATAACAGCGTCACCACCAACTTCATCTAATGTTTTGGTAAAGATAGGTAATGGTAACTATATACAGAGGATTGGTGATGGTAAATATCCCGTATTAGGAATAAACATTGTATTTAGCGAGCCTTGGCTATAATTTCAGTTTTCAATTCTGTGCTCGGAAATCTCTCACAAACATTACCTAAACATTGCAAGATTTCCTTGAATGTGCGCATTAATATATTTTAAGTCAGAGGGTAAGTGATGTGTCAGTCTGACAGTGACAGTAGCAAATATAATTCTAACAAAAACTTGTTTCTTATACAGAGGCGTAACAAAACATATGCAAAACAACAATTGCCCAGATAAATTTGTTTTTCTTGCCTTTCGCGACAATCAATCGTCTGTCCTACAGAGTAACCACCATTTGTCAAATTTGATTGTTAGGACGTGGATGGTAGAGTTTGGTCTGTGCGACTGGTCTCAGGAAAGTCTTGATGTACAAATTATATAATTAAAACACTGTTACTTGTGGTAATGTTCTTCGTAATACATACAGTGGTTCTGACAGTAAGGACCTAAAAACTGTAGGTCAATCACCATCATCCGACGAGGACAAATGATCTTAAGATAGCATGATGTCTGTAAACATATTTGCCTGTTATTAAAACTTCATAGAATGTGATGAATTTGAATCAAATACAATTACCACAAAGAGCATTTTCAAGAATATGTTACTTAGTTAAAACCTGCATACCGATCTTAACATCGAAACCCATGTCCTGCAGAGTAATTGTTCACTTGAAGTATAATGTTTTAAGAAAGCATGTGCATGTATATCACAGGGTGAGATGCCAATGCGACAATCACACCAAAGTGTCATGGTACTGTAGCTCTACAGTCACAAAAGTGCCAACATATAGTCATAATAAAAATTCTATGAGCACTGGATTTCAACTATTTTCTGCATACATTAACTCTGAAACAATCCATTCTATTGTATCAGTGGTTCCTAATCCTCCATAAAACATGTGAAATGAAATATTATACAAGTTTCAACTCTGAGTCTTACACACCTCCTTACAATACTATACACGTTCAAAATATTTGACAAAATATTTAGATTTCATAAACACCCACATGAAATATCATCTGAGAATAACATTTTCGAACATTAAGAAATATTTGCATTACATGCATAAAAAAGAGAAGCAACCCTTTAACTTAGTAACGCCACATGCTAGAGTTGCATTCATGATTTTTAGGATGTGGAATCTGACACTTTCTGAGATGACATTGTTAAAACTAATAATATGACGGCAACATTGGTAATTTGTTCGAGCCTCCTGAGCAAATTAAGGCCTGATCATTGACGCGAACAAGCATTCCGACATACATGTATATCCCCGTCATCCAATTCACTACTTTAACATCCCTTTGCATAATTATAACTACCGGCATATCCCAACAATTCCATTCAAAACAGACAGATTCCGAGGACCTCCTTCACAAACAACATATCCCCAGGATCTCTTTCACAACCAGCATATGCACCAGCATCATAATCACCTCAGACATGTCACCCACCATCGTGATCGCTACCTGACATATCACCCAGCATCCGTTTTCCTACAAACGTATCCCCGAGCATCTCAATAAGTACCACAATAACACCAAGCATCTAGATTAGCACCGACATATACCACAACATCCTGATCACTAATGACATATTCTCAAGCATCCCGATCATTGTAACCTTGGTATGACCACAAAATCGAATAACATAACACACAATTACCTCCGAATTCCAGAGGTTATGCAAATTATATAGGCCACGCATTAATCCTAAAATTGACGAGCATGATTAACAAAACACCATAGTCTTAGACTCTGGCATTAAAGGAACGGAACACTGAACTGAGCGCTGTATACTATTCACAGGTAGAACTATCCATGTCACCAAAAACGAATTTAAGATAGTTTCTTAATTATAAGAATGTTGCAATCGGTGCATTATCGCCAGTACTGAAATTGTGTTACATTTTAATCCAAATCTGCATGTATGACGAATAGCACATAAGGTCTACTGTTTACATACAGTACGTGATTGATAGGATTGAGGTAATGTTTGAACTAGAAGCCCCAAAGATATACCCACCATGTATTCAGTTGGCCCACACATTTCCACAGCAAGAAATGAACTTTGTCTTACCTTGTGTACTGCCTTCAGGAATCTGCGTTGATGTAAACGGTAATTGTTGAACAGTCGATGGCCTTGATGGTAGAGTTTGGTCTGTGCGACTGGTCTCAGGAAAGTCTTGATGTACAAATTATATAATTAAAACACTGCTACTTGTGGTAATGTTCTTCGTAATACATACAGTGGTTCCGACAGTAAGGACCTAAAAACTGTAGGTCAATCACCATCATCCGACGAGGACAAATGATCTTAAAATAGCATGACGTCTGTAAACATATTTGCCTGTTAGTAAAACTTCATAGAATGTGATGAATTTGAATCAAATACAATTACCCCAAAGAGCATTTTCAAGAATATGTTACTTAGCCGAAACCTGCATATCGATCTTAACATCGAAACCCATGTCCTGCAGAGTAATTGTTCACTTGAAGTATAATGTTTTAAGAAAGCATGTACATGTATATCACAGGGTGAGATGCCAAAGCGACAATCACACCAAAGTGTCATGGTACTGTAGCTCTACAGTCACAAAAGTGCCAACATATAGTCATAATATAAATACTATGAGCACTGGATTTCAACTATTTTCTGCATACATTACCTCTGAAACAATCCCTTCTATTGCATCAGTGGTTCCTAATCCACCATAAAACATGTAAAATCAAATATTATACAAGTTTCAACTCTGAGTCTTACACGCCTCCTAATAATGCTATGCACGTTCAAAATATTTGACAAAATATTTAGATTTGATAAACACCCACATGAAATATCATCTGAGAATCACATTTCCGAACATTAAGAAATATTTGCATTACATGCATAAAGAGAAGCAACCCTTTAACTTAGCAACGCCACATGCTAGAGTTGCATTCATGATTTTTAGGACGTGGAATCTGACACTTTCTGAGATAACATTGTTAAAACTAATAATATGGCGGCAAAATTGGTAATTTGATTCGAGCCTCCTGAGCAAATTTAGGCCTGATCATTGGCGCGAACAAGCATTCCGACATACATGTATATCCCCGTCATCCAATTCACTACTTTAACATCCCTTAGCATAATGATCACTACCGGCATATCCCAACAATTCCATTCAAAACAGACAGATTCCGAGGACCTCCTTCACAAACAACATATCCCCAGGATCTCTTTCACAACACGCATGTCCACCAGCATCATAATCACCTCAGACATATCACCCACCATCGTGATCGCTATCTGACATATCACCCAGCATCCGTTTTCCTACAAACGTATCCCCGAGCATCTCAATAAGTACCACAATAACACCAAGCATCTAGATTAGCACCGACATATACCACAACATCCTGATCACTAATGACATATTCTCAAGCATCCCGATCATTGTAACCTTGGTATGACCACAAAATCGAATAACATAGCACACAATAACCTCCGAATTCCAGAGGTAAAGCAAATTATATAGGCCACGTACTAATCCTAAAATTGACGAGCATGATTAACAAAACACCATAGTCTTAGACTCTGGCATTAAAGGACTGGAACACTGAACTGAGCGCTGTATACTATTCACAACTAGAACTATCCATGTCACCAAAATGAATATAAGTTAGTTTCTTAATTATAAGAATGTTGCATTCCGTGCATTATCGCCAGTACTGAAATTGTGTTACATTTAAATCAAAATCTGTATGACGAATAGCACATATGGTCTACTGTTTACCTTCAGTACGTGATTGATAGGATTGAGGTAATGTTTGAACTAGAAGCCCCAAAGATATATCCACCATGTATTCAGTTGGCCCACACATTTCCACAACAAGAAATGAACTTCGTCTTACCTTGTGTACTGCCTTCAGGAATCTGCGTTGATGTAAACGGTAATTGTTGAACAGTCGATGGCCTTGATGGTAGAGTTTGGTCTGTGCGACTGGTCTCAGGAAAGTCTTGATGTACAATTATATAATTAAAAAAACTGTTACTTGTGGTAATGTTCTTCGTAATACATACAGTGGTTCTGACAGTAAGGACCTAAAAACTGTAGGTCAATCACCATCATCCGACGAGGACAAATGATCTTAAGATAGCATGACGTCTGTAAACATATTTGCCTGTTATTAAAACTTCATAGAATGTGATGAATTTGAATCAAATACAATTACCCCAAAGAGCATTTTCAAGAATATGTTACTTAGTTAAAACCAGCATACCGATCTTAACATCGAAACCCATGTCCTGCAGAATAATTGTTCACTTGAAGTATAATGTTTTAAGAAAGCATGTACATGTATATCACATGCATAAAGAGAAGCAACCCTTAAACTTAGCAACGCCACATGCTAGAGTTGCATTCATGATTTTTAGAACGTGGAATCTGACACTTTATGAGATGACATTGTTAAAACTAATGATATGGCGGCAAAATTGGTAAATTGATTCGAGCCTCCTGAGCAAATTTAGGCCTGATCATTGGCGCGAACAAGCATTCCGACATACATGTATATCCCTATCATCCAATTCACTACTTTAATCCCTTAGACATATCACCCATCGTCGTGATCGCTATCTGACATATCACCCAGCATCCGTATTCCTACAAATGTATCCCCGAGCATCTCAATAAGTACCACAATAACACCAAGCATCTAGATTAGCACCGACATATACCACAACATCCTGATCACTAATGACATATTCTCAAGCATCCCGATCATTGCAGACACCCCCCGGAGCACCCATGTCTCGACTGATATTCCCAGCATTAAAATCCATAACAACATATCCCCAGCAATTTATCACTAAAAACATATCACTCATCACTTCAATGTCTACAAGCTTATCCCCCAGCATCTCGATTACTATCGGTATATCTATAAACACCCCGATCACTACCAAAATACCCCGAGCATCTTGATCACTACCAACATATCCCCAGCATCTTAATCGCTACCGATATACTAGTATACTCCAGCACCTTGATCACTAAAGATATATCCCCAGCGTCTCGCTCACCATGAGCATATCCCCGAGCGTCGTTGGATCACGATCAATACTGGCATATCCCCCAGCGTTCTGATCACTACCGACATTAATTAGTCTGAAGATATATCCCCCAGCATCTTGACCACAACGAGCATATGCCCCAGCATATCCTTACCTACCAGCATATCCCCCACTATCCCAATCACCAACGTCATAATCCCCAGCATCTTCATCACTTACATCATATTAATCCCCATCCCAAACACTTCCGAAATATTCCCAATAATGTCATCAACGTTTGTTATATATAGCATCCGGATCACCATGGACATATCCCAAGCACTTCGATCACTGACATCATATCCCCCTCCATCCCATTTACCACCGACATATCCCCAGGCATGGCCTTCACTGACGCCTTATCCTCGATCATCCTGATTAGTAGGGTTTTTTTTGTGTACAGAGCGAATATTGTTTTTTGGGAAACTTAACAAGTAAGGTCAGCATTTATAATAATTCGAGGCATCGAAGTGTTATAAGGGGTGGCAATATAAACTTTTAAAGACGGGATGGGACGGGATGTGTGTGTGTGTGTGTGTGTGTGTGTGTGTGTGTGGTGGTGGGGGGGGGGGGGGGGGGGGGTTCAGGTGGGGGGGGGAGCTTGACTGACTGCGCTACGTAATAGGTGATATGGTCATTTTATGATTGGGCAAGAATGTGGGACATTTAACCAAAGAAGGTTATCATATATTAGTTCTTCCAACAGATGGTTATACACTCATTTCCTTTATTATTTCTGGTGACCTCGACTTTTTAAAGAAATCAACCATCTCCTATTCAGCTGTAGACTCTTTACGCCAGTTCACAGTGGATAACCTATCATAACAATCAAGGTATTGGATTGTAAGCTGTTTGAATGTTTAATTCCTAGTAGCAGTTTTTTTACCTTAAATCTATTATATGCCTTAACCTATATAGAAAGATGTAGTAATTTAAACTGAATTTATGCTAAACCTCGATTAATACACCTTGATCGACAACCCTGTTTATTGTTGAAATTTGTAAAGTAACATTTAAGGGTTGTATGATGTACATACTCAGAAAAAATGTAACAATATTCCAGTGTTTTTTTATAAGGAGGGTTGGCGCGAAGGCCTTTAAATCACTTAAATGAACTGATGCGGCAGATTAATTTGATTTATTTGAAAACATATGAGTCCTCTTGTTGTGGACAACAGACATGATACGTTAATCTGCTAACGGGCTGCCTCCTGGACGACGACCAATACCAAACTCCCACACTGACAACTTTAAGCTGAGCTACAGTAAAAGTTTTATCAACACAGAGCACGAACACACTCCATCATTATACATACCTAAAGTGAGATTGTTACTACCTCTATTACGTGAATCCTCACATCGCCACACGGATCCATCATGGACGGTTAGCTCCGTGGTTAATGTCAGATTGTGTTGGTAGTATGTGCAGCTTACACTGACGCGACCCGAGATGTACTTATCATAATAGCTGTCGGTATAATTTCTTTCTCCTTAGATGTTGTATTAAATATGACAATTATTAATCCGTAAATCAAATCAAACGTTATTATATATAATAATATCAACTGTGACTTATTTCATTTCTGTGACTTATTTTATTTCTACATAAACCAATAAAGCTTTTCTACATGGACTAACTAACTTCAAGCCCAAGGAAGCTGAAAGTTTGTGATATTTAGATTGGAAATAGAAATTCAATGTTGTTATCAATGTAAATTATTGAGGTAATAACATATTGCAACATAAATTATTACCGTGTTGAAACTTTCACATACGATTTCTCGTGTACATATGACTTTAGTTCGAATCCAAAAGAGATTCATACGGATATACCTGTTTCATAAAATCCTGCAGCAATAATTTTGCAGACATGATACGTTAATCTGCTAACGGGCTGCCTCCTGGACGACGACCAATACCAAACTCCCACACTGACAACTTTAAGCTGAGCTACAGTAAAAGTTTTATCAACACAGAGCACGAACACACTCCATCATTATACATACCTAAAGTGAGATTGTTACTACCTCTATTACGTGAATCCTCACATCGCCACACGGATCCATCATGGACGGTTAGCTCCGTGGTTAATGTCAGATTGTGTTGGTAGTATGTGCAGCTTACACTGACGCGACCCGAGATGTACTTATCATAATAGCTGTCGGTATAATTTCTTTCTCCGGGGATACTACTGGGTTTATCCTTGTCACAGTGTTCGTTGTTCTCTATTTTCCTTGAATTCAGGACGATTGCGCCGTCTCTGTACCATGTTGTATGCGCCATCGATTCGTTGCTGTTGCTGCTGCAGATTAAGGTGAAATTGTCTTCAGGCGGGGTTATGTCAATCTCTAGAGTGAGTTCATCTGCAACTTTCAAAATAACATACATGTGACACGACTGATGTTTTGTTCAACACAACTTTAAAAAAATCATTTGTGCTTCTTCAAAATTTCCTGGGAGTCAAAAGTGGTTGCAGGTTGCAGAGGAAGACAAATAAGGAAAACAACATCATTCGTCGTAAAAGGAAGATCAGTTTCGGGACTCATAATATATTTATCTTATTTTGTTGGTTCAATACATGAATAATGTACAAATCCGTGTATGTGAATCTGTGTTTGAAAACAGACTGACATTTTGGATATTGTCAAGACAAAGAATATTATAAATCAAGTAATTAAATATGAATAACAGAAGTGTGTTGAAGCTTACCAGACGAATGTGCATACACAATCATTCCTATCCACAGAAGGAACATTAGAGGAATCCCACTTCTCATGGTTTCGTCAGATCTGCTCGGAGACTCACTGACGAGCTACTCGTTTGATTCATAAACACACTGTAAACCTCGTACCTTGTGAAATACTGTAGTATATTTATAGTTATATGATGATATGCGTGGTGTTGACACACCCACTGTTTTTTATTAACTCGTATCTTTTTAACATTCTGTTATGGGGTACAACATGGGTGGAGTACTCACGTTCTCTATACCGTGATATATAGCGGGTCTGGTATCTAGAAAGAGGAAAATATGTTGCATTTTGATCACTCTCATTATCATGCAATCCTATGAATTGATGCATGTCACGAACTTGTGTAACGTGTATGATATGCTATATGTCCACATATGAGGAAAACCAGATAACATTGTATTCATTGTATTTATTGTAGTCATTGTAGTCATTGTACATCATGATAGGTCGTGCAGGAACACACGTCAATCCGGCATACAATCACTATGAAGAACCTGGCGCTTGTAATGACAAATCATAATCAGTTATTATAAAAGAAACGTAAGCGTCAACACGAAAACTTAAACTTCCACATTACTTAAAACTGTTGTCCATTCTGTGTAATTGACTACGTTGAATCTGATTATCATTTTTGCTTGACAGAAACAATTCTGCTTCGCATTTCCATAGTATTATATATTTGGCTAACAATTGAAAAATATTGGATCAGTAGACGGCAATGCCTGTTTAAATTTAAATACGGTTGGAAATGTTGTTTAATTCAATGCAATGAATGCAGTTTGTGGAATCATATGGAAACCCGAATCAACTTGAATAGTAAATTGATTCCATTTTCAAAACGTATTAATTTAAAAATCATTTTGGAAAAAAATGAACAAATATACCACTTATCCTTTCAATTATTAGGAAAGCGTAGTTTTGAACTAGCGTTTAAACTTACATCTACTAAACATGAATAAATGTATGCGTGAGTAAGTGAGAAAGGTTTTATGCCACATTTAGCAATAGTCCAGCAATATCTCGACCACGGATGCTCTACATTGTACCCATGTGAGGAATTAAGCAGGGGCGTTCGGCGTGAGGGGAGACAGGTGGAGGTAGCCACCAGGCTACCGAGCCCTTAATAAACATGAAAACGACTAAGATATAGGGTGGCTGTGTGGCATTGTTGATTGCGTCCAATCGTGAACGTATGGTGTGGGTTGATACTCATGCTATCAGTCACTGGTTTGTCTGTTTAATGTAATTGAACTACTAGCTGCCGCATAAAATAACATTCACTAGTACGCTCGAACTCACATATGCTATGTGCCCTCAAAATCGTACATGTAGATGTTGTATTAAATATGACAATTATTAATCCGTAAATCAAATCAAACGTTATTATATATAATAATATCAACTGTGACTTATTTCATTTCTGTGACTTATTTTATTTCTACATAAACCAATAAAGCTTTTCTACATGGACTAACTAACTTCAAGCCCAAGGAAGCTGAAAGTTTGTGATATTTAGATTGGAAATAGAAATTCAATGTTGTTATCAATGTAAATTATTGAGGTAATAACATATTGCAACATAAATTATTACCGTGTTGAAACTTTCACATACGATTTCTCGTGTACATATGACTTTAGTTCGAATCCAAAAGAGATTCATACGGATATACCTGTTTCATAAAATCCTGCAGCAATAATTTTGCGTTGAATTTTATGAAAGCAATATACGAGCGTACATGGAGCGAAAGAATGTGTTGTGAGTCCAGACTTGGAAGATCGGTTTAACTCATGCAGCGTGATAATTATTGGTCGCAGAAACACGGTATAGATAACGTGAGTAGTTCACGCCTGTTATCCACCATGACAGAATAATAAATTAAAGATAACATAAACAGTTGGCGTATGAACAGAAGAACTTAAACACCCGTGTATATGATCATACGGCTAACAATAACAAAGGGAAATATAAATATATTACAATGTTTCACAAGGTACGAGGTTTACAGTTTGTTTATGAACCACACGTGCAACTCGCCAGTGTGCCTCAAAGCAGATCTGACGAAGCCATGGGCAGTGAGATTCCTCTGATGGTCCTATTGAGGATAGGAATGATTGTGTATGCACATTCGTCTGGTAAGCTTCAACACACTTCTGTAATTCACAAGTAATCTTACAATACAATCTTTATCTTGGTAATATCCAATATTTATTTCCAAAACTAACGAAACTTCTTTTTACGACGAATGATGTTGTTTTCCATATTTGGTTTCCTCTGCAACCTACAACCACTTTTGACTCCCAGGAATTTTTTTAAGAAGCATAACAACCTTACTTTTTTAAAGTTGTGTTGAACCAAACATCAGTCGTGTCACATGTATGTTATTTTGAAAGTTGCAGATGAACACACTCTAGAGATCAACATATCCCCGTCTGAAGGCACTTTCACCTTAATCTGCAGCAGCAACAGCAGCAAATCGATTACGTATACAACATGGTACAGAGACGGCGCAATCGTCCTGAATTCAAGGAAAATAGAGAACATCGAACGCTGTGACAAGGATAAGCCCAGTAGTATCCCCGGAGGACGTAATTATAACGATAGCTATTATGATAAGTACATCTCAGGTCGCGTCAGTGTAAGCTGCACAGACTACCAACACAATCTGACATTAACCACGGAGCTAACCGTCCATGATGGATCCGTCTGGCGATGTGTGGATTCACGAAATAGAGGTAGTAACAATCTCACTTTAGGTATGTATAATAATGGTGTGTGTTCGTGCTCTGTGTGGATAATACTTTTACTGTAGCTCAGCTTAAAGTTGTCAGTGTGGGAGTTTGGTATTAGTCGTCTTCCAGGAGGCAGCCCGTGAGCAGATTAACGTATCATGTATGTTGACCACAACAAAAGGACTCATATGTTTTCAAATAAATCAAATTAATCCGCTGCATCAGTTCATTTAAGTGATTTAAAGGCCTTCGCGCCAACCCTCCTTATCAATAACCACTGGAATATTTTTCCACTTTTTTAGAGGATGTACATCAGATCCTACCCTTAAATGTTACTTTACAAATTTCCACAATAAACAGGGTTGTCGTGCAAGGAGTATGGAGTATTTAAATTCAGTGTAAATTACTAACACGCTTGTGTAAGAGTTTGTATTCAACTTCTATGTAGGTTTAAGGTCAAGACTATAGCTACTATTAGGATTTAAGCACACACACGACTAACAACACCCCCACCTTCACCCACCCTCCTACCCACCCCCCACACCACACACACACAACCCCCCCAACCCCCAACCCCACCACACCACACACACACAAACACCATTCCTCCAGTACCATCATTCCCGTTTTATATTGCCACCCCTTATAACATCTTGACACCTCAAAACCAAAATAAAGTTATTGACATATTGCCAGTGCTGACCTTATTTCTTATTTTTTTCAAAAACCAATATTCGCTCTGTACACATAATTTCCTCAGAAACGATTGAACAGGATGGTCGGGGATATGCCGTCAGTTAAGGCCATACTCGGGGATAAGTCGGTAGTGACTGGGGTTGAGAAGGATATGCTGTCAGTGAAGACATCCTTGCAGTTAATTAATGTCGGTAGTGATCAAGATGCTGGGGATATGTTGGTAGTGATCAAGATGCTGGGGATATGTTGGTAGTGATCAAGATGCTGGCGATACGTTGGTTTTGATCGTTATCCCATGACCCTCGGGGATATGCCCATAGTGATTGAGACGCTGAGGGATATGTCTTTAGTGATCCAGTAGCTGTAGGATGTATCTGTAGGAATAGGGATGCTTTGGTTTATGTTGGTATTGACCGTGATCCCGCTCGGAGACACGCCCATAGTAAGTTAGAAGCTGGGTAATATGCTTGTCGTCATTGAGACGGATATGTTTTTAGTGATTGATATTGTGGGGGATATGTTGGTAGTGATAAAAATGCTCGGGTTATGTTGGTATTAATCGGAATGTATATGTCGGAATATGCTGGGGGAAAAGCTGGTAGGCATTGAGGTGATGGGTGATACGCTGTCTGTGATGTAAATGCTGGGGAATATATCGATAGTGATCAAGATGTGGTATATGTCGGTGCTAATTTGAAGACGTGGGGATACTGTGGTACGTATTGAGATGCTAGAGGATTCATTAGTAGGAATACGGATGCTGGGTGATATATAAGGTAACGATCACGATGATGGGTGATATGTCTGAAGTGATTCTGATACTGGAGGATATGCGGGTTGTGTAAGCGATCCTGGGGATCTGTCGGTTGTGAAGGTGATCCTGGAAATGTGTCGGTTGTGAAGCTGTTCCTGGAAATGTGTCGGTTGTGAAGGTGATCCTGGTGATATGTCTGTTTTGAATGGAATGCTTGGAATATGCCGGTAGTGATGATAATGCCAAGGGGTGTTCCAGCAGTGAATTGGATGATCAGGGTTTATGTCGGAAATATCAGGCATGAATTTGCTCAAGACTTTCGAATCAGATTACCAATTTTGCTGCCATAGGATTATTTTTAACAACATTTTTTTCAGAAAGTGTCTTTAAGCTTCCAATACTAACATTTGTTTATGTTCTGAAACTTGATTCGCAGATAATGTGATATTGTATGTGGGTGTTTATCAAAACTGTTTATATAAAATACTTTGAAAACGTATGGCATTATAAAGAAGCATGTAAGACCTAAAGTTGAAACTCGAATATTATTTCATTTTACATGTTTTATAGTGGATTATATTTATATGCTCTGTAAAAACATTATAAGTCAAGTGAACAATTACTTTGCAAGACATGCATTTTGATGTTAGGATTGATATGCATGTTTGGGTTAAGAAAAATATACTTCCAAATGCTCTTATGCTTATATGCTTATAGACGTCATGCCCCCTTTAAATTGTGTTTTCCTGTCCTAAGATAATTTAACATTTAATATCGTGGTCAGTTCATATTTGTGGCTACGTTTATATTACCAATAGTTATGGACCATCATCTTGTCAAAAACTCGACACAAAACGGTACTATATTTTTTAGAGCCAGATCTTCTCTACATGGTATAATGTTTTGTAAAATATTCAAATAATTTATACGTTGTTTTTTTGTAACCATGATGGATGATGGTGATGGATTTAATGAAATGATTAATATCCAAAGTAAATCTTTTGGGAAATGTGGTTCATTATAAGGAGGTCGTAAGGCTTTACTGAAGGAGCGTTACTTGCTGTAAT